TTGTGTCAATATGCCAAGCATTGGGTTGTGAACATAAAATAATACAAAAGAAAAAAAAAGGACATATATTACTGTTTAATTGGGTACACAGTTGTATTTGTCATGCTTAGACCTAAATTATCTTCTCTTTGTACCTTCTTCTTTACCTAGCACCTTTTACCGAGGTGTTTTACAATTTCCTTAAGAAATAGTCTGCCTGTCTTTCTCCTTATTCCCTTTCTCCTGTCTAGGAATAATCACCGTTCTTTCTTGTCATCTTTTTTAGATTATACATATTCAGGAGAACTTGCAATACTTGTCTTTCTGGATCTGGCTCATTTTGATGAACACAGTAGTCTTCAGATCCTTTGTCCCCCCCCCCCCTTTGTAAATGACAGAATTTCTTTCTTTCTTATGGCTGAATAACACTCCATTGCGTATACCACATTTTCTTTATCCGTTCATCTTGATGGGCATCTAGGCTGGTTATATATCGTGACTGGTGTGAGTTGTGCCATAATAAACATGAGTATGCAGGTATATCCCTACAGCATGCTGACTTGAATTGCTTCAAGTATATGCCAAAGAGGAGTGTAGCTGGGTTATATGGTATTCTATTTTTAGTTATTTTGATGAACCTCCGTACTGACTGCCATAGTGACTATTATACTAATTTACATTCTCACTTACAGAGTAGAAGTGTTCGTTATTCACCCACATTCTTGCTAGCAGATTGTTTTTTGTACTTTTCATGATGGCCATTCCGAGTAGGATGAGATGGGGATCACAGTGTAGTTTTGATTTGTATTTCCATAATGGCTAAAGATGATGGACATTTTTTTATACTTATTGACCATTTGTACTTCTTTTTTTTTTTTTTTGTACCGGGGATCGAACTCGGGTCCTTGCGCTTGCGAGGCAGGCACCAGAACCACTGAGCTAAATCCCTGGCCCCTCATTTGTACTTCTTTTGAGAAATGTCTCTTCAATTCATTTGCCCATTTATTGATTGTTCTATTTAATTTGTTTTTTGTTTTTTGTTTTTTTGGTGCCGGGGATCGAACTCGGATCCTTGTGCTTGCAAGGCAGGCGGCAGAACCGCTGAACTAAATCCCCGGCCCTCTATTTAATTTTTTAGTGTTAAGAATTTGAGTTCTTTATATATTCTGGATATTAATCCTCTGTCAGAAGAATAACTGGCAGAGATTTTCTTTTCCATTCTGTAGGCTGTTTCTTCACTCTGTTAGTTGTTTCTCTTGCTGTGCAGAAACCTTTTAGTTTGATGTAGTCCCATTTGTTCATTCTTGATACTTCCTGTGCTAAAAGTCCTGTTTAGGATGTCTTTGCCTATGGTTATGGCTTCATGTGTTTCCCCCATGTTTTCTTCTAGCACTTCCAGGTTCAGGTCTTACAAGTCTTTCATCCATTTTGATTTGATTTTTGTATGGGATAAGAGGTAGGGCTTTAATTTTGGTCTTCAACATACGGTAGATATCCAGTTTTCCCAGCACCACTTTTTAAACTCACAGCAATCCCAGCCTGACTTCAAATTTGCAGTGATCCTCCTGCATTAGCCTACCAGGTGCTGGGATTTCAGGCATGTGCCACCACAGCCGGCTTCTATTTATACTTTTTTTTTTTTTTTTTTTTTGGTACCGGGGATTGAACTCAGGTCCTTGTGCTTGCACAACAGGCAGCGAAATCACTGAGCTAAATCCCCGGCCCTATTTATGCTTTTTGAAAAAGTGTGATTGAGTTGGATGTGGTGGTGCACACGTATAATCCCAGCTACTCAGGAGACTGAGACAGGAGGATTGAACCTATCTTGGGAAACATAGTGAGACCCTGTCTTACAATTTTAAAAGGGCTGGGGAATGTAGATCAGTGCAAAGGCCCAGGTTCAATCCCAGTATTACACTTCGCAAAAATTCACTTGCCATGTAATTAATTCATCCTTTTAAAATGTACAAGTCATTGGTTTTGAGTATACTTATAGATATGTAGAGCCATCACCACAATTTTAGAACATTTTCATCACTCCAAAAAGAAATTTCATACCCTTTCCCTCAAGACTCCCTCCTGAGCAACCAGCAGTCTATCTCTATAAATTGTTCTGTTCCAGACATTTCATGTAAGTGGGCTTTTATAATATGTAATTTTTTTGTAACTGGACTCTTTCACTTAGCATGTCTTCTGCATTCACTCAAGTTATAGCAAGTATGAGTATTTTCTTTTCAGGGACAAATATTGCATTACATGAGTCACCTTGTTGTTTTTGTTTTTTGTTTTTGGTACCGGGGCTCGAACTTGGGACCTTGAGCTTGTGAGGCAGGCAGTGGAACCACTGAGCTAAATTCCTGGCCCTTTGCTTTTTGTTTTTTGAGACAGGCTCTCACTTTGTAGTTCAGGCTGGCCTTGAACTCACTATGTAGGCCAGGCTGGCCTTGAATTTGCAGCGATCCTCCTGCCTCAGCCTCCTGAGTGTTGGGATTACAGGCATATACCACTACACCCTGCTAGTCACATTTTCTTGATACGTTCATCAGCTCTTGGTTATTTCAGTTGTTTCAATTTTTTATTATGAATAATGCTGCCGTAAACATTCTTGTAGAAGTATTTGTGTGGACATATGCTTTCATTTTGCTTGGTTATATAAATATGAGTAGAATCGCTACAACTTATAGTTAACTTGTGTTTAATCATTTGAGGAACTGGCAGAATATTTCCAAAGCATTTGTACCATTTTACATTCCCACCAGCTTTCTGATTTCTCTACATCCTTGTCAATGTGTGTCTTTTTTTTTGAGACAAGGCCTCGCTGTGTGGCCTTAAACTCACTGTGGAGCTCAGGTTGGTCTTGAACTCACAGGGATCCTCCTGGGTAACAGGCATGTTCTACCATGCCTGGCTTTTTTATTTTAGTCATCCTAATGAATATGCAATAGTATCTCATCATGGTTTGATTATATTTCCCTGATGATGGATGATATCAAACATCTTTCATGAACTTATTTGCTATTTATATTTCTTCCTGGGAGAAATGTTTAGTATTGTAGATGATTTTTTCATTTTTAAAATTGGGTTGTCTTGTATCTTTGAATTGTAAGAGGTCTTTTTTTATTGTGGATGCCAATTCCTCTTGCAGATATTTTCTCCTATTGTGTAAATTCTCTTTTCACTTTCTCCTCTTGCAGATATTTTCTCCTATTGTGTAAATTGTAAATTCTCTTTTCACTTTCTTGATGTTGTCTTTTAGAGTACAGAAGTTCTTAATTTTCTTTTTTTTCTTTCCCCTTCTGGTACTGGGAATCGAACTCAGGACCTTATGCCTGACAGGCAAGGACTATGCCACTGAGCTACATCCCTGGTCCTAATTTTCTTTTCTTTTCTAAGAATTTTACAGCAGTGGCTTTTTCATTCAGTTAGATCTTTGATCATTTTGACTTAACTTTTTTTTGTACAATGTGATGTAAAGGTCTAACTTCATTCTTTTGCATGTGGCTATTCAGTTCCCTAGCACCATTTGTTGAAAAGACAGTTCTTTCATGGGCTAGGGATTTAACTCAGTGGTTCCACCGCCTCCCTCGCAAGCGCAAGGTCCCGAGTTCGATCCCGCTACCAAAAAAAGAAAAACAGGACAATTGACAGTTCTTTCTCTGTTGGTGGTCTTGGCATCCTTCTTGAAAATCAATGACTAGGTCATAGGTTTACAAACTTTTTTGAGGCAGAGATTGGGGATTGAACCCATGGTCTTCACACTGAGCTACATTCCCTGCAAGCCTTCACTCCTTTTTTGAAACAGGTTTTCAGTAAGTCATTAAGTTGCCCAGCCTGGGCTTGAACTTGGAATCCTTCTGCCTCAGCCTCCCAGAGTGCTGAGATTAGAGGTGTGCACAACTGTGCCTAGTTTAGTTTTACATTTTTTAAATAGCAGAGCTATAATTTTGCTTTCTTACTATTTGGATTGCTTTTCCACAAGTAATAATGTTGTAAAAGAAGATTGTTTATTTTTAAGTAGGCTTTTGAGGCATCTCTATATAATTTTAGCACTACATCAGGTATCAAGTAGAAACTCAACCTGGAAATACTCATAGTACATAAAACATCTAATCATGAATATTACTTAGAAAGCCATGTTTCTTTCATTGACAGTAACATTTTGTGTTGATGCGTCTTCAGTGCCAGTTGCTAAACTGTTATCGGACTTTTGAGAAGAAATAGACGACCATCTCATTCTCACACAGCTAATGGTTTATAAGATATTGGGACATTGAGAGATGGAATAAAATAACATGGCAATATCCATGTGGTTTTTGTTTTTTGGGGGGATCTATAGAAGTGGTATTTTTTCAATATCTATAGGTTATATAGTTATTTTTACCTAGTATACTGTGTTTAGTATTGCCTTTTTAAAAAAAATTATGAAGCGTTCCCTTTTTATTTATTGGTACCAGGGATCGAACTCGGGACCTTGCACTTGCAAGGCAAGCAGTGGAACCACTGAGCTAAATCCCTGGCCCTAGTATTGCCTTTTTAAAAAAGCATTTTCTTTTCAACGTTTGAAGGTGTTTTTATTGGTATATGTTTGTGGTAAAATATTAAGCATTTCCTTAGGACCAAAATTCTTTTTTTGTACTGAGGATCGAACTCGGGTCCTTGCGCTTGTGAGGCAGGCAGTGGAACCACTGAGCTAAATCCCAGGCCCAAGACCAAAATTCTTAAATTGAAATTGTTTGCTCTCCAGACCTCCAAATTAAGTTATGAGTGCTGCAGGTGCTGCTGAAAAGAGATGACTGGTAAAGTCTACCGAGTAACATAGCTCTTTATAAAGCATTGCTGATGCTCTGGTAAAGTCCATTATTGACTAGAAAATTGCCTCCATAATTAAATAGTCATCACATTCTTTCAGTGCTTTTTCTTTTGTGTATTAGAATCATTTTTACGTAGTGGGAAGCATTTTCCGCTAATGAACTGCTCTCTCTTAAAATCACTCTGTATAACTTTATGTTCCTTTTCTTTAGGAGTCTCAGCAGTCCAATTTTGGCCCTGGAGAACAAAGTGAGTATTTGTTTTCCATTTCGTTTTCAAATTAAGTTATTAATAGAGCATATGGGCCACCCTTCAGATTACTTTAGTAATTCTTTTTCCATGTCTTATAATTACATGATCTGATAAATAGTAATTGCTTCTTTAAAAAAATAGAACTGTAGGTCATTAGAGATCAAAATAAGCTATTTTAATTTGAAGTAATAGTTGAAAGTCTATAAATTCAATCTGATGGGCACCTCATAAACTCAAGAGCCATGCTTCTGTCTTTCCCCTTCCATGAAGAAGACTTGGTTCTGTTAGGGTCAAACTGTAGGCAAGCACAGGTTACTTTAGCTGACTGTGGCTCTGGTCTTCCTGTATTTATGTATTCTCTGTTCTTCCTGAGTCTTACGGTCTGGGTAGAAAATCTACAGTCTTCTACACCCTACTTTCACCCCAGCTCTTGACCTCCTAGAAGAACGTGTGGGAATTTATATGGGATTCCAAGAGATGTGTAGATCAGTAGTACTAAGGTCAGGAACCATTGCAGATGTCTGCACTTTACCATAAAGCTCTATAACAAAACAGTTATTTTTGCCAAGGGAAACAATTTCTTAAATAACTTAGATTTATACTGCTTTTAAGGTGTTTTGAGAGATGAAAATGGGACTTTTTTGATCCTTTGCTAGCTATTATTAGTGATCTTAAGGCAAAGATATGAAGCTAGCATATCTTAATGTTAAATTTTCTATATCTTTGTATCCATTTTAGTTCTGCCTCATAGCTGTGTTAAAAAAGGGACCTGACATTGTTGATATGTACAAAATATCGAGCTATAGACCAGATCATTTACATTTTTGCTTTTTTTTTTTTTTTTTTTGGTACCTGGAATCGAACTCATGGCCTTGAGCTTTCGGGCAGGTGACAGAAGCACTGAGCTAAATCCCCGGCCCTGCTTTTCTTTTAAGAATGTCTCATCTTTGCTTCTATGCCATCTCATTCTCTCCCCCCAAAGCTAACTCTGGCAAAGAGGATCATAAACTGCATCTACTCTTTGTTATCTTGTTTTACTCACTTTATTTTAAAATTTATCACCATCACTATAAAGCCTCATTCATTTGTTCTAATACTAAAATTGTGTTATATGAAAGGATCCTAATTTTTTTTTACCAGTCCTCTACTGATGAACATTTATTTTCAGCTTTTGCTGTTAAAAACCATTCCTCTGTATGTGTTTGTTCCTCCAGATACATCTACAAAATAACTTTGTTTCATTGAGATAGGTCATTAGCAGTATAGTTACAGTATTGATGAGATAAGATGACAGATTGTCCTCGAAAAAGATTGTGTGAGTTTACAGTCCTACCAGCAGCATACAGGCATGCCTGTTTTCCTCATACCCACCCTGTCATATTATTGGATTTCAGTGTGTTGCCATTTTAATGGATGCAGAATAGGGCCAGGGATTTAGCTCTCGTTCCGCCCCCTGCCTCGCAAGCACAGAGTCCTGAGTTCAATCCCCAGTACCAAAAAATAAAATAAAATGGATGCAGAATTAATAGGTCATTGTTTCAGTTTATATTTCTTTGAGAGTAGATATTTTGATTGATGTTTTGTAGTCCAAATAGCCAACTTCATTTGCTTATTTCAGCCTTCTTTTTGTTCTAGAAAGATATAATCCTACTAAAACTTCAAATGGCCACCAGTCTAAATCGTAAGTTTATTGCTTAATAAGTTTGCTTTGCTAAAAGCTATCTATAGTATCTGAATGTTTTGAATAATAATTAGCAATATTCATCTTTTTTTTTTTTTTTTTTTTTTTTTGGTGGCATTGAGAATTGATCCCAGGGCCTTATGCATGCTAAGGCATATATACTTTATTACTGAGCTACATCCCTGGGCAGATATACTTATCTTTAAGGCAGGGGTAGGCAAACTTTTATGTAAAGGCCCAGATAATGAAAATTTCTAGGTTTTCACAGCTACATGGCCTCTGTCCTGTGTACCCAGTTCTGTCATTGTACTATAAAAACTGTCATAGACCATGATTATGGGTGTATTCCAATAAAGCTTTCTTTACAAAACAGTGGTGGGGTAGATTTGGCTTGTGGGTCATGATTTGCCTACCCCTGCAGGGAGATCACGGTTTTTTCTCATCTCAGAGAAGTGTGTTTCTGTTTGTGTATATATTCATAGCTTATATTTAATCCTAAAGAAGACAGAATTCTTCCGTGTAAGCTCTCCATTTCACTACTAAGGTGTTATATGTTGAAGCAGTCCAGGTTGTACTACGTTCAAATTTTCCCTTTCTTTTTGGGGGGAGGATGAAGTGCTAGTGGGGATCAAACACAAGACCTTCACGCTGAGCTACATACTCCCCAGCCCTTTTTATTTTAAGACACGATATCACTAAGTTGCTCAGACTGAGCTTGAACTTGAGATCCTCTTACCTCCCAAGTAGCTGAGGTTGCAGGCATGTGCCATCACTCCTGGCTAAATTTTCCTATTTTTATTTTGCTGGCAGAACCAGGAATATATATCAAAATGTAATAAGGGGTGGAGTGGTGGTACATGCCTGTAATCCTAATTAGTTGGGAGGCTGAGGCAGAAGGATCGCAAGTCTGAGGCTAGTCAGGGCAACTTAGTGAGACCTTGTCTCAAAATGAAAAAGAGCTGGGTATATAATTCTGTGCAAAGGGCCAGGGATGTAGCTCAGTGGCGCTGCACCTGCCCGGCAAGTGCAAGGTCCTAAGTTCGGTTCCCAGTACCGAGAAAACAAACCAACTGAATAATTCTGTGCTGCCTGGGTTCCATCCCCATCACTGCAAAAATAATAATAATAATAATAGGGTAGTGTATTGGATGGTAATAAATTCCGGCTTAAGGAGTGGACTTGTGAACTCTTAAAACCACAGGTTAACTCAGCTTTTGAAACAAAATTCCAACCTTGCTGGAGGGAAGAGCAAAGCAGAGGCAGGGAAGTAAAAAGAATTAAGATATGCTATGTACATGTAGCAGCTCCCCGTGATGAATGTAGCCAGTATGTATTACAAACATGTACTAATAAAAAAGTCCTTGTGGTCACAGTGCCAGCTGTTTATGCTGTAATCACAAACTGTACTGTTTATCTCTAACAGTAGCCTCTTCAGTTGAAGAAGGGAGGACTAGGGTTTAAACCCCTGCACCACACACAAAAAAAGAAAAAATCAAAACAAAGAAAAGAAGCTTCCTCCTGCGCTGCTGAAGAATTCAAATTTTATTTTTATTTACCATTTATATCAAAGAACTGATGCATGCCTACCATACCACTTTGGTTGCTAAGAGAACAACAGCATGCAGGACACTGAGCAGTTTAGTAAAACCTTTGACACACTGTATTTGTATATGTGAATATATTCCTTGAGCTGCCGTTATTAAATCATAAGGCCTGGGAGAATTCAGGGTAAGTACATTTCCTTATAGAAAGTCAGTCATAGAGATGCACTAAACCCTTCTCCAAAACAAAACTGTCCAGGCATGGTGGCTCAGACCTGTAATCTTAGCACTTGGGAGGATGAGTCAGGAGGATTGCCATGATTTCAAAGATAGCCTGGGCTCCATAGTGAGTTCAAGGCCAGCCTGAACCATGTAGTGAGACCCTATCAAAAAACACTAAAAACAAAACTCTTTTTTCCATCCCCTTTGATTAAGCCAATCTTACAACACTTTTCCTTTTTTTTTTTTTTGGTGCCGGGGATCAAACTCAGGACCTTGAGCTTTCGAGGCAGGTGGCAGAACCACTGAGCTAAATCCCCGGTCCCAACTTTTCTTTATTATATAATCATATGGTTACTTTATTTCAAGGGGATATTTTGTATAATAATTTGAACTTTTGAGTCATATTTAGAAAAGTGGATTGAGCTTTTGAGGGAAAAGTACAAGTAGTTACTGGAATGAAAGATTTCCATCCCACTCATTGGAGACTTCTGACATTTTAAAAAGAAAGGTAGAGTAGAACCAACTGGTAATGAGAAATTCAGACATTTTTCAAATGCAGTTCTCCCTAAACTTTGTGTTAATTTTTTACTCTCATAAAAAGACAGTGTTTTGTAGATTGTAATGCAGATTTAAGGTTTAATGGTTTTCATTTTATAAGGAAAACAAATTTTTAATTTTACTTTTAAAAACAAATTCCAGAAAATATCAGCTTATGATATTTATGTGTATTTTTCAAAACTAATTTGAAGTTTGATCAAGGAAGACTTGGAACCTGGAGATTTAAAACTTCATAGCTGCTCATTTATGCTGCTTACAGAGAGCATTTGTTCTTCACACTAAGGCATTTATTGACTTAGGAAATTGTGTTCTTCTGTTTTTCACCGTTATCCCATTGCCAATGATTGTATGAATCTCTCCTTTGGGAACATTGAGAACAAAGAGACTTGGTTCATACTTACCTTTTATCTTGCTTTATTTAGGAGTTACATTTCTCTAGTGGTCTGTTGGATATGGCTGTGTTAATTTGTTTAAATCGTGATATAATGGGTATACGCATGCATTTAGAAAAAAGTTGGTGATAAGAGAAGTAAATGGGAGAGTTTATAGGAAATAGCTTATGTTTAATTGGGAAAAAAAAAGGTGACTGTTTCACCCATGACAGTTTAGAGCTTATGAAATGATTAAATTCTTTTCTCGGTTTTCTGTTTGTTGCTTTGCTTTTCAATTAAATCTTCGGCTCTCACAGTGATTATTTCTAGTATTATTGATAGATACTAATACTTTGGCATGCCGTGATAAACTATTTCAAAAATAATAATCCTCTCTCCCCTTTCTCTCTAGTATGTTAAAGGATGACTTAAAGCTAAGCAGCAGTGAAGACAGTGATGGGGAACAGGTGTGTCTGCTATAATCATTTCCCCTGTCATACAGTATTTGTTTGCATTTGATTTTACAAAAAATCATAATTGAATAATAATATTTATGAGCCAGTTGTTTGAAATAAATTCTTTTCATAATTTTCCTGACACTGGAATGTTGTAGTTTTCCTACACTGTCTGTAAACCTTCACTTTTTTCCTTGTCTTCTCTTTAACATTTATTTGTTTTGTTTTGGTGCTGGGTATCGAACTCGGGTCCTTGCAACTGCACAGCGGGCAGCAAAACCACTGAGCTAAATCCCCGGCCCTCTTTAACATTTATTATCAGTCAAAACATATTTATGAAGCAGGAGATTATTGCTGTGCAGAGCTTTTTTTTTTTTTTTTTTTTTTTTTTGGTACTGGGGATCGAACTCGGGACCTTGTGCTTGCAAGGCAGGCATGGTGCCACTGAGCTAAATTCCCCGGGCTCAGCAGTTTGTTAATTAAGAAAGAGTTCAGGATAGTGTTCACATTACACAAATAGAGTACCATTTGTTCATTCACAGATTTCTTTCTTATGCTTTAATTTTAGGACTGTGATAAAACAATGCCAAGAGGTACACCAGGAAGGTGGGCATCTTTTCATTTTATTTTATTTGGAGGGGTAAGGTCAGCCTGATTAACATTGTTAGTGATATAATAAATGGCCTTATAAAGTAAATATTGGCAATTGTGATGGTGGTTTTAGAATTCTGTAAATTAATACTGAAAACTAGGTGTTTAAAAATCATCAAATTAGACATTTAAACTGGGTGAATTTATGATATGTAAATTAGACCTCAAACTTTTTAAAATGGGAGTATTAATAGCTGAATAGCACATCAGAAATTTGTTTAGGGAAGTGTTTATTTCATTTATAACGAAGTTCTAGGTTCATTGAATTGTAACAGCTTAGGAAGACATTGTAAATAAAGTTGGCTGTCAGATTTGGATGATTTTTTTATTGTCACTGTAAAAGAAACTTTTCTTCATTTATATGTTTCACCTCCATTAGCAACTCTGAACCTTCACATCATAATAGTGAAGGAGCAGACAATTCCAGGGATGATTCTAGCAGCCATAGTGGATCTGAAAGCAGCTCTGGATCTGACTCAGAAAGTGAAAGTAGTTCCAGTGACAGCGAGGCCAATGAGCCGTCGCAGAGCGCCTCTCCTGAGGTAAGAGGGGGGCAGCCGCCTTCACGGGCCCTCTCCGGGCCTTTAGCAATGTCTTGTGGAGAACTCTTCAGATGTAAAAGGTGAAGAAGGACAGAAGGTTACATATTTTGACAAAAGACAGTTGAATTGTGTATCTTAAAACCTAAATACTTCATTTTCTTTATTATTTGAACAAACATTTTTCGTAGATTAGTAACTACTTAAGGTCATATTATGGGTCGCTAAAATGTTAGATTGGGGGTCGGTAGTGCTAAAGATTGAATCCAGGGTTTCATGTATAATAGACAAATACTTTACCACTGAGCTACATCCCTAGCCCCAAGTATTAGATTTCTTTAGCCTGGTCTTTTGTGTGTCAACATAGCAGTTCATATTACATTGGTATTGTAAACAATACAAAGTGAATCATATCGTATAATTTTATTGTAGCTTAAAATGTGGTTTAAAAAGTCTTTTTTTCTTTTTGCCCATTTTGGTAGCGCACACCTGTAATACCAGCACTTTGGGAGCCTGAGGCAGAGGGATTGCAAATTCAAGCACACCCTGGCCAGCTTAGTGACTTAGCAAGACCCTGCCTCAAAACAAAGCAAAAAAATGGGCTAGAGATGTAACTCAGTGCCAGGTCCGAGTTCAATGTCCAGTAAAGGAGAGGGGCATAAAAATCTCTCTTGGTACTTGATAATGGATTCAAATTGGATTCCGAAGAGGATTATTTGCTATTGATAGGCCACGTATAACAGTAAGCCCATCTTCTAACTCACGTGATTGGAGCTGATAGTCTTTCACCCTATGCTTCAGTCCACTTGGAACCTTTAAAAGCAGGTACTTTTATTTCATCAGGAATTACATTTTTCTTACTCCTAGACATTGTAAAGGAGAAAGCTTCAATATTAAAAGAAAAAAATAAATATTTCTCTGTTTTTCAGCCTGAACCACCACCCACAAACAAGTGGCAACTTGATAATTGGTTGAATAAAGTAAACCCACATAAAGTTTCACCAGCTTCTTCTGTAGATAGTAACATTCCATCATCTCAAGGCTACAAAAAGGAAGGCCGTGAGCCGGTTACTGGGAATAGCTACACTGAGCCAGGTGGGCCTAAAGAAACCAGTTCTACTACTCCTGGACGAGACTCCAAAACCATCCAAAAGGGATCAGAAAGTGGGCGTGGGAGGCAGAAGTCCCCCGCACAGAGCGATAGCACAACACAAAGGAGAACTGTGGGCAAAAAACAACCCAAAAAAGCTGAGAAGGCAGCTGCTGAAGAGCCCCGAGGAGGCCTGAAGATAGAAAGTGAAACCCCTGTAGACATGGCTACCAGCTTGCCCTCCAGCAGACACAAAGCAGCCACCAAAGGCTCAAGGAAACCCAATATAAAAAAGGAGTCCAAATCTTCCCCTCGACCTACAGCAGAGAAAAAGAAATATAAGTCAACAAGTAAATCTTCCCAGAAATCAAGGGAAATCATAGAAACAGATACCTCATCCTCAGATTCAGATGAAAGTGAAAGCCTTCCTCCTTCCTCACAAACTCCCAAGTACCCTGATAGCAACAGGACTCCTGTGAAACCCTCCTCTGTGGAGGAAGAAGATAGCTTTTTCCGGCAACGAATGTTCTCTCCCATGGAAGAGAAGGAACTCCTTTCACCCCTCAGTGAGCCTGATGACAGGTATCCACTTATTGTGAAGATTGACCTGAATCTCTTGACCAGAATACCAGGAAAGCCTTACAAAGAGACAGAACCACCCAAGGGGGAGAAGAAAAATGTGCCAGAAAAGCACACAAGAGAGGCTCAGAAGCAAGCCTCAGAAAAAGTTTCCAACAAAGGAAAGAGGAAACATAAGGTTTGTAAAGGTGGTTGTTGTTGTTCATTTAAAAACATCTCTATCTGAAATGCTATGGAAATCTCAGTGAGTAGGTCTTAAGTTATAAGAGAAAATAGTGGGATGAGCCCAAGGCCCAATTGAGACTAATATAGAGCAGACTCTTGAGGATTTCTGTGCTGTCTCCCTTGGTAGAGCAGAATAGTTTTTAACTAAATAAGAAATGAGCCAGTCACCTCTGTTGACAGTATATGATGGCCAGAGTAGAAGTGAGAGTGGAGTAGAGGCATTTGCAGCATTCTTAAAAATTTGGTTGTGTCTGGTTCTAGTTGGGATACAACCTCTACCCTTTCTCTTCTATTTATAACCAAACCAAGTCACACTTTTAAGATAATTGGTTAAATCCAGCTTAAAAAAACAGACAAACCAACTAGGGCCAGAGATTTAGCTCAGTGGTTTTGCCACCTGCTGTGCAAGCACAAGGCCCCGAGTTCGATCCCCGATACCAAAAAGCCCTCAAAATTTTGATACGCTTGAGAATTTCACCCACCCTGCATGTGTCTGTGCCTAGCTTTTTTCCCTTAAAGTTCAGAACTTAAAACATCTGCTGGGGCTGAAGGCTTAGCTAGTGGTAGAGCACGTGACCAGCATATGTGAGGTTCTGAGTTAATCCTGAGCACCACAGGGGGAAAACCCTGCTGGACCTCACAAGCTCTTATTTTTAAGTACATCCAAGATAATTTAGGACCAAAATTTGGTGTATAGTTAAGGTTAGCTTTTTGTAGGCCCAGGAAATGAGAAAACTCATGACTAAGATTTAAGGATAACAGTCATATAAACATGGCACACTCAGTGGTGTGTGCCAGTAATCCCAACTAGGACTGAGACAAGAGGTTTGAAAATTTGAGGCCAGCCTGAACATTGTAGCGAGATCTCATCTCAAAGATTTTGATTTTGTAACTTTTTTTTTTTTTGGTACCGGGAATCAAACTCAAGTCCTTGCGCTTGCACTGAAACCACTGAGCTAAATCCCCAGCCCAAGATTTTGATTTTATAAAGTGTATAACACCAGGAAACTTGATTATGATTTTTGAAACACGTGGTTTTAATAAAGTATCAGAGTCAATTCCTGGAGACAAAGTCAGTAAAACTGAGAAGAGACATTTGTACAAGGCAATAAAAGTTGTAGATAGGGCCTGGGATTTAGCTCAGTGGTTCCAGTGCCTGCCTCACAAGCACAAAGCCTCAAGGTCGATCCCCAGTACCAAAAAAAAAAAAGTTGTAGGTAGCATTTTTTCATTTCTTCATTTTTCTCATTCTTCATCTTTAATCATTTGTACAGAGGAACAGACTCTTTTCTTATGACAGAATATTTATGTTCTTGTGCCTGGTTTTTAGAGCAGTAGTAAAACTTAGATTCACCTACAAATGTCATATCAATAATAGATCCACTGCTTAAAATTTCAGCCATAAAGATTTTTAAAACTCATTGGGCTTAGCTATACTGAAAAGCTGAAACTATAATAAATGCTAGTGAAGATCTAGAAGGGTAGGAACTTTGGTACAGTTCTAGTAGGAATATGAGCTAGTGCAGCTGCTTTAGAATACAGTTTGGTAGTTCCATAAAAAGTTAAATATAGAATTACTTTAGATCTTAGTCACTTTTTTTTGGTATCGGGGATCGAACTCGGGTCCTTGTGCTTGTGAGGCAGGTGGTGGAACCACTGATCTAAATCCCCGGTCCTCTTAGTCACTCTGTTTATTGCTGAGACACAATACCCAACAGGTGCAATTTAAAGGAAGAAAGCTAAAAAGTCATCCTGAATGGCTGTGAACTGTTGACTGGATAACTAAAATGTAATATATCCACTATTCAGCCCTAAGTGTGAAATACTGATCTATACCACAACATGAATGGGCCTTACAAAGAGTTTACACTAAGTGAAACATTCAGACACAACAGACCATGCATACGTGATTCCGCTTATATGTAATATCCAGAATCTAGAAAGACAGAATGTGTAGATTAATGGTTGGATCTGAGGGGAGGAGAGAATGGGGAAAGAATGCTTATGGGTATAGAGTATCTTTTTGGGATGATGAAAATGTGCTGAAATTGATTAAGGTGATGGTTCTACAACTATGAATATACCAAATGCCATAGAATTCTGTAGTTTCAAAGATTGAGTTTCATGATATATGAGTTATATATTAATTATAAGTTTATGGAATACCTTCTCTTCCAAAATCATTACCTAAAAGAAAATGCCATCTAAAACTATAGGAAATCTGTTACAGTATTTGGAAATTCTATGTATCTAAAATAGGAGACCTTTCTCAGCCTTAAGACCTTCATTATTATACATTGTTTAAAGGAGCTCTTCTCCTTCTCATTATCTTATTTCTGAGGTTTTATCAGGTATAAACTGGAGGTTTCTAGTGGTCAAAGCTGAAGTTAGATTTTTAAAAACCAGACCCGGTAGCTGCTGTTTTCCATTTTTTCATCCAGAATGAAGATGATAACCGAGCCAGTGAGAGCAAAAAACCCAAAACAGAGGACAAGAACTCATCAGGCCACAAGCCACCCAGCAACAGAGAGTACGTCTCCCCAAAACATGTTGCCAGCCAGAGTGGTTAATATATGTATAGCATTTGTTCCTGGATACTTTCTAACATGTTGTCGCTGATACCACACGTGTGCCTATGCTGAGTGGAAAGCATTTAAGATTTACTTTTTCTTTTCTATTTTCTTTAATAGGAGAGAGGGTGGATATGAGTAATAGTTAAACTTTATCACTTTCTGGGTAGATGGCAAGATTATAACTTACCAGAGACATGTTGGTAAGTTGTGAACATTAATCTCTTTTTATCATTCATCTGTTCTTTCAGTCAGTATTAAGGACTAATTGTGTGTGGCAGGTTATATTTTCAAAATGGTATACAACTGTGGAGAAAAAAGAAATGGATGAAGAAAAAGACAAAATGCCCACCAACCCTTATGGCATTTACAGTCTCATTTTGTTTTACAGTATTAGGTATCCCAGTAATCAAATGGGGCAAATAAAATTTTTTTGAAAGCGGGTAAAGAGAGAGGAAAAAAAATCCATCCCCCCATATTACTGTGTGAAAGATGAAGGCGGCATTTATTTTGTTTGACAGGTCATCTAAACAGAGTGCTGCAAAAGAAAAGGAATTGTTACCTTCACCTGCTGGCCCCGCACCTTCAAAAGATCCAAAATCAGAGCATGGCTCTAGGAAGAGGACTATTAGTCAGTCATCTTCCTTAAAGTCAAGCAGTAACAGCAACAAGGAGAATAGTGGCAGCAGCAAAAACAGTTCCTCCGCATCAAAGCAGAAAAAGACTGAAGGGAAAACTTCCAGTAGCTCCAAGGAGGCTAAGGTACAATATTGGGAACTTGAGCTTTTCAGAAGCCACTTTCATTGTTATGTGACTTCCTCAGGGTAACATTGTGCTTTGAAATTTTTGTAAACATCTCATTAAATTCATAGGCTTATACAGTCTACCTATACTATGTGACAATTTTGAAGATAAATTTATATAATGATCTAAGATCATGAAAGCAATGAGTAAGCTGTCCCCATGCCTATTAATTCAGATAGAAACTTGGACAAGTCGGTTATGACATTTTAAAAACAAGTACCAAATGATTCTGGTGCTTAGATTGAGTACTTGTGTATGTATGGTTTGCAGTGGGCTTTGGATTTCTTGGAATTAGACTTTCTAATCAAGTTACATTACATAAAGTGACAAAAGCAACCACTTGACTTTGATTCTTGAAGTAGAAAAAAAAAGTTAGCTGAGCTAACACTGAAATTATTACAGAATTATACACATACGCATAATATAGAAGAATATTCTTCATGTCTGTGGATGAAGATTTGGATCAAAGTTTTTTCAGGGCTGTTCTTCAATAGACTGTCTCCCTCAGTTTGTTTACTAGGTTCTTAGCATTGCTTTCTAAATTGATCTCAACGGGAGCAAACAGTATGTTAGACAAAATTAAAATCCATAGCCTCAGTGGTTCCGGTGCCTGCCTTGCAAGCGCAAGGTCCAGAGTTCAATCCCAGGTACCAAAAAAAAAAAAATTAAATCCCCAAAATTTTTAATCCTCTGGGGAAAAGATGGATCAGTACTTCATCTTTTCCAGGGTCCTCAAACTGCTTTCTAAATTGATATCAACGGGAGCAAACAGTATGTTAGACAAAATTAAAATCCATAGCCTCAGTGGTTCCGGTGCCTGCCTTGCAAGCGCAAGGTCCAGAGTTCAATCCCAGGTACCAAAAAAAAAAAAAATTAAATCCTTAAATTTTTAACAATATAATTCCCTGGATTATTATTTGTGACTTAAGTGAGTAGTTTGAGACTTGAAAATTCAGACTGACAAAAAACTGTCATCCTTACTAAACATGGTAAATTTTTAAAATTGAGGTCATTCAGTTCTCAAACTGTGATGTACAGAAGGTTTTTTCTTCAGCCAAACACCCTTCTGTAGTAGTTTGGAGAGTTGTCCCAAGGACCCTGCTCTGTTAGCTTTCTTCCCTGTCCCAGTTCACTGGCTCTTTCTCCATTTGCTATCCCTTAAAGTATAGGAGTAAAGGTCTCTGCAATTTTGGGGGTCGTGGGTGGTGACAGGGTCTCACTGTGTAGCCCAGGCTGGCCTCAGACTCACAGTGATCCTCCTGCTCCAGCCTCCCAAGTGCTGGGATTTACAGACGTGCTCCATCATGCCCATTGCTTATAATTGTTTCTTTCTTTTTTTTTTTTTTGGCATTTTTTTCCGGTACCAGGCAGCGAACTCGGGACCTTGCGCTTGCGAGGCAGGCGGCAGAACCACTGAGCTAAATCCCCGGCCCTGAAATTGTTTCTTAAATCATCTGTTGCTTTTTGTGAAAATGCATTTATTAAGTGAGCTTATCTAGTACTGTATCTCATATGTAGTTAAAAATCACTGTCTATGTCTTCCTTATGAAGAAAGTTCCTTCAGTAACTTTGTCATTCCTGAAAATAGGTATTTGTGTCTGTTCTCCAGTGCCTAACCTACTTACTGGGTAATTAGGAAATATTTGTTTGATCAGATGGAGTCATTTGGTACTCTGGTACTGGGGATCGAACTCAGGTCCTTCCGCTTGTGAGGCAGGCGGCAGAACCACTGAACTAAATCCCTGGCCTTGTTTTCAACAAAATATAAAATATGCCCTTACCATTTTGATGCTGAGAGCTTATGGTACTTGACAGTTATTAAAGATGTTAATGTTAGTCTTTGGCAGTTTTAATTTAGGCAGTTACATGAGTTTGTTGAAGAAAGATCTATGGCTTAGGAAATAAGCTACTTTTTTTAATCAACTAAAGAAAATTAAGTAACCTAGAAAACCAAAATTACATATAATTTTTATAGGAGAAAAGTATGTTGAAATATGTGGAAATTTTTTTAGTTTCAAAAAACTTCAATTTTCCTCAAGTAAATGTAAATATAGGCATTTTATAAACATAAACTTTACCAGCATTTCTCAGATTCTAGGACTTCTATTTTCATTTCTTGAAGTAAACCATAATATTATAGATGGACCTGAAAAGCTCTTACAAGACAGAAAAAAATTATTACATGGTCCCTTTTAAGTAGTTTTTAAGCACAAGTGTAAATGACACATTATCAGGTTTTTCTACTGTTGAAACATATGTGCGTTGATAGGGTAAATTCTACTTATTTATAGTGTTGTGGGGTTTTGGGGGGGGTTTTTTGTTGTTGTTGTTGTTGTTGTTGTTGTTGTTGTTGTTTGGGGGACCAGGGATTAAACTCAGGACCTTGCACTTTTGAGGCAGGCAGCGGGACCACTGAGCTAAATCCCCGGCCCTGTTTATAGTGTTTTACTGTAGGAAAATAATATATTGGTCTTATTAAGGATAGGGCTGTATATAAGGCATTTGGAAAGAGAGAGCCCTTGTATAAAGGAATCGTTGATAGCAGAATAAAGTTTAAGAGTGGATGGGCTTTTAGAACGAGCCAGATCAGATCATACATCAGTATGTATGAACTTAGGCAACTTACTTAACCTCTTTGACACTCCTTTTTTTTTTTTAATTCAGTATAACAAGAGTACCTATTTCATAGAGTTGAAGGATGAAGAACTGTGCTAAGTACTTAGTTAACTTAGTACCTGATAAAGATTAAGCACCTAATAAATATTGTAGCTGTTTTCATTGACCAGTAAATTTTGCCCTAAGTTCTAGTGCCATTTTGCTATGAAGTTTGTATCTTATATTTCAACAAGTGCCTAGCCCAGTGCCTAACTCATAGTAAATTCTCAATAAATATGAGAATGAATGTTTTGGTTACATAATAAAATGGACCCATTTTGTTAAAAAAAGTTTACATTATAGGGCGGGGGGTTTAGCTCAGTGATTCTGGTGCCTGCCTCGCAAGCGCAAGGTTCCGAGTTCGATCTCCGGTACCAAAAAAGCAAAACAAAACAGAAAAGTTTACATTATAAAGTTTAACAAAGTTTTATAACAAAGAAATTAACACCAAAAACAGTGGAATTGGCTGGGCATGGTGGCGCCCACCTGTAACTTGGGAGGCTGAGCCAGGAGGATCACCACAAGTTGGAGGCCCGCCTGGACTACAGTCGTTCAAGGCCAGCCTGAACTACATGGTGAGACCCTGTCTCAAAAAGAAAACAAAGACAGTGGAATTTTGTTTTCATTTTAGCAGTGGCTGAGGAAATGCTGTTAGCTTAATTTTTAGTCTCCTCACAGTTTTCAACATACTGTATGTATTTTTTTTTTTTTTGGTTAGGAAAAGGCTCCAAATAGCTCCTCTAATTGTCCTTCATCTACACCAATTCCTGATGCTTCTAAGCCTCGGAGAACAAAGCTTGCCTTTGATGACAGGTGAGATAAATATGATTTTTAAAAATGCGTTTAAGAAATGATTTCAAGTCAACGGTTAATATCTGTCAGTGACCAGAGGTCTAATATTTGTGTGTGATCCACAGAATATTTCGAGTTTAACTTGAAAGCACCCTCTAATCCTAGTCCACTACTGCTCCTTTAACTGAACTGCATGACCCTTGGGGGGATCAGGATGAGGTGCCTTCCAGTAGGCGGTAACTGTTGCTGATATCACTGTGTAACACTGTTAAAATAAGTGTTTTCTTGGCTAAGGAAAACCTGTGCGGTTGCTTCCTTAATTTTCTGTTAAAAGGTTATTTCTCCTACCTATATCTTACTTACCTTGTCCTTTTTTTTCTAGACAGGGTCTCACTGTACTTCAGGCTGATTTTGAACCTGCTGTGTAGCCCAGGCTGCCCTCAAATTCTCAGTCCTTTCACCTCAGCCTCCTGAGTGCTGGGATTACAGGGTGTGCCACCATGCCTAGTTCCTGTTTGCTTTTAATCTTTAAAACAACTCAAGAGAGTTAATACTAGGGAGCTCGAGCCAGATGTGGTGGTACACACCTTTAATCCCAACTGCTCGAGAGGCTGAGGCAGCAAGACCACAAGTTCAAGCCCAGTCTAGGCTTAGTGAGGCCTTGTCTTAGTATATATTATAATATATACATAAAAGACTATAATAATATATAAAAAGTGCTGAGGCCGCAGCTCAGTGCAAGGCCCTGGATTCACTTCCCAGGACTGCAAAAAATAAATATGTGCATACGTGCATTCATGCACACTAGGGAGCTTGGTTTCTGTTTTCCTCAGTAAAACATTTGCCATGGGTATATGTTGTTAACCTGATAAAAACATTTATTCAAAAAAAAGTGAGATGAATGTTTAATGATGTTTGTTTTCTTAAGAGTATGAAAACAGTATTACTAGAAACTAGTGTTATCTTTTTAAAAATTTGCTGTTTTATTTACAATGAAAATTTACATTGCAGAAATTACTCAGCAGACCATTATTTACAAGAAGCAAAAAAGCTAAAGCACAATGCAGATGCATTGGTATGTAAATATTCTTGCACTTAACGTGTTTAATCAAATTAGCTTAAATTTGTTGTTTGTACTTTCAGTGAAGCACTACTCGTTCCTTTTGTTCTTCTCTCTGTAGTCTGACAGGTTTGAGAAAGCAGTATACTATCTTGATGCTGTGGTGTCCTTTATTGAATGTGGGAATGCATTAGAGAAGAATGCTCAGGAATCCAAATCCCCATTCCCTATGTATTCAGACACAGTGGAGCTCATCAAGTAAGTGGAAAACTTTGCCACATCATTGGCAGTAATATTTCTCTGGTCCATTTGAAAGGGGTTGATGTAACCAAATACGTAAACTGAAGAGGAGGCTTAATCCTTCATTTTCCTTGGAAAAGGACAACTAGATGTCTCAGTGGGTGTTTTATTTAGGTTTGACTCTAATGTTTTAGGACAAAGTCAAGATCAAGGGAAGCTTAAGGAGCTCTGCCCCGATGCTTTTAGATATATTTAGTACTTTATATGCAGTGATGTTTTTGGTTCCTTTTTATTAAGTATATTCTGTTTTTTCTACGGAATTCTTAAACTAACTCTCAAGTATTGTACTCATCACTTACTTGTTATCTTAATTCACAGATACACTATGAAGCTGAAGAATTACTTGGCCCCAGATGCTACGGCTGCAGACAAAAGACTGACAGTGCTTTGGTGAGTGTGCATTCTAGCCTCTGTTCAGTAACAGGCAGTCCCTTGATAAATTGTGCTGTGTATTCTGAGAGTAGCCCATGCATACCTTTCCGTAACCCTGTCACAAACATGTTCTTAAAGAGTCAAGCAGGAAATAACTTAAAATTCCTACTGAAAGATCGTAGTTGTTGTCACTCTATCTCTGATCCATCTCTGTTTTGATGAATGCGCTGGTAGGGTGGGATTAATACTAGAACTCTTCATTGAATTAAAGTGATCGCTTGTGCAAGCTCTCCTTTTCGTACCCTCTCTCTGCATTCACATATATCTCCTTTTCTTAGGAGAAAAAGGTTGTGACTTGTTTGCTTTGTTCTTAGCCAGGGAAATATTATTATTTCACTTATTTTAGTTTACTCTGCCTGGCTCTGTATCGAACAGTGGGAATGTATCTGTGAATTAATCTGATGGTCCTATTCATCATGGTGTTTATAGTCTAGTTTGAGGAGACAGAAATAAATAAACGTGTAAGTAAATGAGTGAATTACTTTTTTTTTTTTTTTTGGTACCCGGGATCGTACTCGGGTCCTTGAGCTTGCGCAGCAGGCGGCAAAACTACTGAGCTAAATCCCTGGGCCTGCCTGAGTTAATTACTTTGAAAGAACAGTCTACGTTAGAAGAGTAAAGAGACCTGTCTGTAGTTAGAAAGAACAATGTATTAAAGGACTAGATAATGGGGGCCGGGGATTGTGCCGAGGTCTGCTCACATGTTCAGTCTTACACACTTGCGAGAGCCAGTCTTCTAGTCTTGCACAGCACAAAGGTTGCTTGTGCATTTGTGGCAAATCTGCTGTCCTGGTAAATAAACTGCCTTTTCCATTGGCTAGCCTAAGATGCCAGTCTTTGCTGTACCTGCGGCTATTCAAACTGAAGAAGGAAAATGCTCTGAAGTACTCAAAGACACTGACAGAGCACCTGAAGGTAAGTATGCAAAAGAGAAGCGTCTCCCAGGAGACAAAATTTGTGAAGTCCCCCTTTCCTACCCTAGAAGTACTCGCATATATAGGTAAGACTCATGAGGGGAGGAGCTGCTGTTTCAGAACTCTCAAATATGTTTGAGGTTTTTTGGGAAAATTTTAAAATGTATGTATATCTGATTGTAGAACTTATGTAGCTGTATGCAGCAGCTATATTTATCTCTTTAATGATCTTTTATTTCTAGTACCATGCTTCTTTAAACTGCTATTTTAGTTTTCTAAAACATTTTCCATGGTTTTTTCAGATCAGCACCACATAAATCCTTCTAAAAGTCTGCTCTGGTTGTGACTTGGAGCCCCTCAGTAGTTCACTGTTGTCCTTAGGGTTAGGTCTGTACTGCTTACCCAAGCCTATAAGGTCTTTTAGGTTTCTCTCTTTCTTATTCCTTGTTTTTAGTTTTTTTGGGTTTTTTGGTACCAGGGATCGAACTGGGGACCTTGCACTTGCAAGGCAGGCAGTGGAACCACTGAGCTAAATCCCTGGCCCATCCTTGTTTAAACCTATGCTTTAGGCAAACTGTATGGTCACATACATTGTCTTTTCTGCCACCTCTTTGTACATAGTGTAACTCATTTCCCTATGCAACTTCCCTTTCCCTTTATCTGAGTGTTATTCATTATTCCCTTGCTTCTTCATGCAGTCTTCCAGGACATCCCAGCTCTCACTGAGTAACATCTTTCTGTTGTGCATACACACACACACATACACACACATTTTAGTGTCTTCAATTGATGCAGCTTCATAAGATGAACTCTGGCCTAGTGCTTTTAGATGTATTTAGTACTTTATATGTTGTGGTGTTTTTTGCTTCTTTGTTTGTTAAGAATGTTCTGTTTTCTTCTACAGAATTCTTACAATAATTCTCAAGCACCATCCCCTGGCTTAGGAAGGTAGGTCAAATTTTATTTTATAAAGTATCATTTGCAGCAAATGCGGTGGCACGTAACTTAGTCTCAGCACTTTTAGAGGCCGAGGCAGGAGGATTGCAAGCTCGACCCCAGAGTGGGCTAGTTAGATGAGACCCTTTGTCTCAAAATAAAAAAGAGCTGGAAGTGTAGCTCAGTGTGAAGACCCTGAGTTAAAACTCTAATGCCGCATACACACAATAATCGTTTGGAGCAGGCTTATTTATATATAATACGGAAGTAGAATGGCTAGGGATCACCTTTCCAAAAATGGAAAAATGTTATCTACTGTTTTACAAATTAAAATAATTTTATTAAAGTATTATATTAATTCATTCTTCATTTGTTGATGCTGGGGATCAAACCCAGCCAGGGCCTTGTGCATTCTAAGCACATGTTCTACCACTGAGCTACACCCGTCCCAAATAATTTTTAAGATTATTTTTTCCTGATTTGTGAATGAAGAATATAAATTAATATAGTCATAGCATGGGCTGGGGATTTAGCTCAGTGGTGCCACCGCTTGCATTGCAAGCACAAGGTCCCGAGTTTGGTCCCTGGTACCAAAAATATATATATGTAGTCATAGAATGATCAGATTCTGGTTCTTTTTGTTTGTTTTTCTTTTTCCTTTTTTGGTACCAGGGATCAAACTCAGGACCTTGCGCTTGTGAGGTAGGCGGTGGCACCACTGAGCTAAATCCCCAGCCCCTATAGTCATAAAATGATTAGAGATGAGGCATTTTATCTGCAGGTATTTGAATTTTTAACAACACTTTAGCCCTTCTCACAGTTTCATTTTTGTAGTTACTTGGATTTATGACAGTGGACTTCACTTTATTCAAGTCTTGGCATTGCCAGAATTAGTGGCATGAGTATAGTTTTTCCTCTTTACGTATATCACACTAATCCCAACCACACACAAAAGGAGGCAAAACACTGTGAAACCTTTTTTATTTTGTATGTTTCTGTTTTTATGTTTATATGAATTGACATTCAGTCTTTGCCTTGTTTTTATTTTCCTGACCAAATTTGTAATCTTTTTTTTTTGGTACCAGGGATCGAACTCGGGTCCTTGCGCTTGCACAGCAGGCGGCGAAACCACTGAGCTAAATCCCCGGCCCCCAAATTTGTAATCTTAAAACTACAGTTAAAAATACAAACAAATAGATTTCTTCCCCAACTTGTGTTCGGTTTTCCTGTTTTCAGTGTTGTGATCATAGTTTTGGGCAGTTTCACAGATTTTAGTACTCTGAAATTAACTGAAATATTTTAACACATGTTAAGAAATACTTAGTTGGCAGAAAGCTTGAGGTGATTGCAGTTGATTGAGGGAGCTATACCTCTTTGTTCACTCTGAATAATTTGGTTAAATTAGGAAAGTGCTAGAAATTATGGAGCTCAAGAAGTTCTCACCTACCACCACAATTTTGGGGGTTGTGAATTCCATCCACCCTTCTACCAAATGATCTGAAAAACAGGTAATTACATGCCTGCATAAGTGCAAAGTATTGAGCTAGAATGAGGGGAGAAAGCTTCAAGGGTTTGAACTACTACCAACATGGTATTGTGACTTCTTCAGTCATCTCTCCTTTCTTGTTCTGTTGCCATTATTAAAACAAAAGATATCTGTAACATAATTCACAATGACCTTTGGTAAAATGGTACCTCAGTTCACGAACTTAATTCTTTCTGTGATTCTGGTCACAAACCAAATTGGACAAGAACTGAGTCAAATTCAGTGGTTAGGGTCCATGTTGATCTTACAGGGAAATTTGATTTAGATCTCATCCAGTTCAGTTTGTGACCAGAATCGTGGAAAGAATTGAGTTCACGAACTCAAGCACCACTGTACTTACTTAGAAGAAATTGAACTTCTCTGGGAACCCTTGTAGTCTAAAAGAATCCTTAAATTTTAAAAGCCTTCATCTAGGAAGAGCCAGTGCTACATTGATCTCATACTGTTATATCTGTATGAACTAGCTTCCTATTTTCTCTTGTGTGTAGCAAAGCTGTTGGGATGCCTTCCCCTGTGTCTCCAAAGCTGTCACCAGGCAATTCAGGAAATTATTCTTCTGGGGGCAGTAGTTCAGCAAGTGGTTCTTCAGTGACCATTCCACAGAAGATCCACCAGATGGCAGCCAGCTATGTTCAGGTTACATCCAACTTTCTCTATGCCACTGAAATTTGGGACCAAGCTGAGCAGCTTTCCAAAGAGCAAAAAGGTTGGTGGAGTTCTAGATAAAGTTTGAAGCATAGAATTGTTAAAAGGAACTTTTATGATTTAGTTAAGTGGCGTGTGTTATTACCTAGTAATACCTCTCACAATCCTGGTGACATAAGCTAAACTCTCTTGCTTTAAGACAAGTATGTGTCTTTTTGGTATATTAAGTGCAGTTCACACTTTAAAAGTGATATGTTAGCTGGGAATGGTGACACACACCTGTAATCCCAGCACTTGGGATGGCAGAGGCAGGAGGGTTGCCGTGAATTTGAGGCCAGCCTGGGCCACATAGTGAGTTCAAGGCCAGCCTTGCTATGTACCGAGATCCTGTCTGAAAAAAACAAAAAAACTAAAACAAAAAAGGCAGTATGTCATACTGTGGGATGATTAATATTTGACTATAAAAATAAGATTACAGGATCAGGGATTTAGCTCAGTGGTTTCCCTGCCTGCTGCGCAAGCGCAAGGACCCGAGTTCAATCCCTGGTACCAAAAAAAAAATTGGATTACATTTAGATGTCTTACTCATTTGAGATGTTTAATATGTAAGAACATTCATGCTGGATTTTTAGATATAATGGAAGGCATTTATATGATAAAAGAAACAATTTCTTAGCTTTCCTTAAAATTAGGTTGAAACATTTCATCTTAAAAGTTTATTATTCGGCCAGGGATTTAGCTCAGTAGCATTGTGCCTGCCTAGCAAACTCAAGGTCCTGAGTTTGATCCACGGTACCAAAATAAAAATGTTTATTTTTGCCTAAACTAAGAACATTGAAAATTATAAAAGTATTTAATGCTCTTAGGGGAAAGTACTATGTGAACACCAGCTTATTATATAGTAGATTTTATTTGCAAATATAAGTGCATAGCATTTATTCAGATAGATCTTTTGCAGAGGAACACTAAAACAGCCGATCAGTCAGTGTTATTTTTATCACATGGCACTTAAATACTTATAGTATGAACAGGCACTCAGATGTAAACGAAAGATTCCTCTCGTATTCCTAAAGAGGAGTAATAATGAGAAAAAGGTAAAAGAGAAACGCAACATTTAGCTTTTATGTTCTTTCATACTTAGTCTATCATCAGATTTCCCCTATCATCTCAAACATGCATTTTTACTTTTTAAAAACAGTTGGATTTTTTTTTTTTTTTTTTTTTTTTGGTACCGGGGATCAAATTCAGGACCTTGCACTTTCGAGGCAGGTGCCAGAACCACTGAGCTAAATCCCAGGCCCTGGATTTATTTCAGACAAGATCCAAGCAAGGTTTATACACATAACATTTCACTGATAAGCCTCTTTAAGTATCCCCCCTCCCACTTTCTTTTGGTGCGGGGAGCACATGCTATTGATGATGAGAACCTGGGTCATAGAATATCTTAGTCTGGATTTGACTCATTACTTCCTTATGTTACTTAATTTGTTGTTCTGTCTCTTATTTTCTTTATACTACTAGTTACATCTTGAGGATTGATGAAATTCATGTGCAGTTGGTTTGTGTGTGTGTTTCTCTTTTTTGTAGATTGAACCCAGAGCCTTGTACACGATGGTCAAGTGCCCTTCCACTAAGCTATACTCCCATCCCCCAAGTGTTTTAGATAAAGATACTCCATAGACTAATAATGGTGAACCTTTTAGAGACCGAGTGCCCAGACTGCAACCCAAAACCCACTTACATATTGCAAAGCGCCAACACTGCAATTATACCTGAATACTAAGGTTTTAGTTTAGAAAATACAACTGTTGTCTGATGCTCAGCTGCTGGGGTGACTTGGCTTGCGTGCGGACAGAGGGCTCAGCATGCCCGCTGCACCACACATGCCATAGGTTCACCACCACTGCCATAGACAGTACACTAGATTTACTATTGCCCCACATTTGGAGGCATGTAATAATTAGTCTTTTTTTGGTTTTGGTACGGGGGATCGAACTTGGGTCCTTGCACGTACGCAGCAGACAGCGAAACCACTGAGCTAAATCCCTGGCCAAAAAGCAGTATTTTTTTTTGGTTCCAGGGATCGAACTCAGGTCCCTGCGCTTGCACAGCAGGCAGCGAAGCCACTGAGCTAAATCCCTGGCCCCCAAAAGCAGTATTTTTAAGAACCCTCTTCTTCTCTGCATGTCTAAAAATACTGTTTTTTATTTTTTGGTACCAGGGATCAAATTCAGGACCTTGTGCTTGCAAGGCAGATGGGCAAAAACACTCTTAATGTCTAGTTTTACATCCTTTTTTCTGTTCTCATAATTACATCGGAATCAAATCCTAGGACAGTGTTCTCCCTCCCAATTTCCTTCATATGCAACCATTATTTGTTCACATAGGAAGAATCCGTTTATTTCCATCCCTTGAATTTTTAAACTACTGTCTGAAAATATGGGTTTTATCGTTGGTATATGACATACAATTACAGTACACAGGTTGGATGCAGACTGTCATAATTATCTAACCTCACAGGGGCTATTATGGGAAACATGCAAAGAATATCTTCCTTAGATAACATTCTGTTAGTATGCTTTGTGGTAATAAAAAAGGGCAAAATTTTTAAAAAATTACTTCTGTTTTATGCCATTTGCTTCTTACAAAAACAGTACATAGAGAATGTTTTGAGTAATCAAATAGGACGGACACTGTGTATGTGTGTGGCACTAGGTCTCCATTCTGAGGCATAATAGCAGTTTATAATTACCGTCAGTGATATTCTGCACATACATATAACACTTGCAGACCATGCGTTCTCTAAAATGTTGCATGCCTTTGGGAACAACGTGACCTGCGAGACAGTGGGGATGCTCGTCCTGAGGCAGACTTACCATGCTAGTGTGGGAGGGTATGTGTTTTTGCTTCATGTGTATGCTGTTTTATAGTCTAGACTCAATTTTAAACAGAAGTTCAAAAAAGTGTGCATTATTTAATGAATGTTTTTGGTTTTCTAGAATTCTTTGCTGAACTGGATAAAGTAATGGGCCCTCTCATCTTTAATGCAAGCATCATGACAGATCTAGCTCGTTATACCCGGCAGGGACTACACTGGCTTCGCCAGGATGCCAAGTTGGTGTCTTGAACTGAACACATTCTCGTTGCCTCTGATTTTCTCCACAACACTGTGTCACATCACAAAGGAAAACTGCCATAACATGTCACCTAGTCAACACTAAGAATGAGGAATGGTTTTCTCCTCCCTGGTTCATGTGCTGTTGTTTCTAACCCAAAGCCATCCTATCAGTTGACCCCTTCAATATTCCCAATGTGAAAAATTATTTAAATGCTGTTAAATCTGCAGCGCATTGATAAGATGGTTTTAGTGATCTGTAATATGATTGAAATTCCAGTTGCAGTTTGTGACTAACCAAGTGAAATTTTATTTATTTTAATTTTTTTAGGTTCCCAGATTGGGGCTTGTTTAAAACTTAGTTATTTCTGCTTATAAATTTACTCTGTTGAACATTTAGCATAACTGTAATGCAGGCATTTTTATTTATATATTTTGGGAGCTTCATTACCTAATATCTTTTTGTGATAGCTCTTCTATGAGTAAGATAGGGAAATGTTCCATTTCTACTAGCTGATATTATTTCAGATCTTAACTACAATTTTTATTGTTGTAAAATTTATGCTTAAGTACTAAACATATTCTACACGTGAGAAATCATTTAAATATGAGAAGATGACATTCAGTGTGGATGTAAAAAAAATGAAATCTGTCTGATTTGGTATGCATTATTTCAAAAACTGTGAAGGTGTGTTAATAACACTATAGAAATCACAAGGTGACTGTAACTTGCATTTAATGCATTACAAAAGAGAGCAGGCCGACTTTCTAAGAGAAGCATATCATTTTGAAGGGTTTCAGGAAAGGACAATCTTACACTTCACGGATTTTATTAAAACTGTTCTTTTTGTTGCTGAACTCCTGAAGGTTGCTGCCTATGTCTCTTTAATTGATAACATCCAAAGGTTAAAATCTCTTTGGAAAAAATTTCCCCCATACTCGCTTGTGATGCTCTGATATGAGCATGCAGTGACTGATATTGTTGGTGTGTGTGGTTTTGCTATACAACTTACAGTGCTAATGCCTGATGTAGAGATGATGAATTTCTCCATTTTAAAGGCCCCCATTAGTGATGTTGCTGTAGGATCAGAAAATTCACACAGAAAAGTACTAATGGTTCAGTGTGAGCTCTTGGAAAGGGGAGGAGAGCAGTGATGGAGCTTAAGAAGCCGGCACTGTAAGAATTGTATATCAAAGTACCCTTCCCTACAAGGTGCATATAGGAGTCTAGGGTGAGAAATGCACCCTCTGTACTTTGTTTTGAGTGCCCCTATCATGTCTGGTGTGCCTTAAATCTTATCTTTAAATGGAGACTTTGTGGATTGTTTACAGATAAAATTTTACACTAGGACTAGATTGTCCACACATGGTTGGTCCTCTCCATTAATAATAAATTTTCTTTCATTTTAAATCTTCCTTTAGGGTCATGTAAGGATTAATCATTTTTTAAAAAGTTAGTTTTAGTACATGACTTAGTCTAACTAATTGGGTAATGTTGCTTCAAAAGAAATCGTTTGTCTTCTTATTCCAAAACTGAACCTATCCAGTTGGGAAAAGTGACTGCCCTACTCTTTGTTGATAATTGGTGAGGCTTGAAACAGGAAAGGGGAAAGAAGGAACCGAAGATCCCCAAGTCCAGTGGTGCAGTGCATTCTCTGCTCAAGTCTCTGTTACACTTACCTTCTGAAGCTGGTGAGCTCTCATTGTCCTGTGGCTTCATGTGTGTCGAGCTCTAATGGTTTTGTTCTTTGAGTTATTATTACATACTATTGAAGATTGAGGTCTTCAAATTACATTGAAGCTAACTTTTTTCTCTTGGAGAAATTGCCTGTGATATCTTTTAATTTAATCTTGGTGTGTTCTAGGAACAGTTTTCCTTAAGAGGACATTTCCTCAGCAGTTACGATAGTTCTTTAGTAGAAATAATATCAAGAATATGTACGTCCTCCTTTCTCTGACTTCTGTGACTCTGATTCCTTAATTTGCAGTTCAGCAGCAGCCAGCAGGGTACCTCTGAGTTCAGTGCATTCTAGTGTCCTGAATGACAGCAGGAGCATTTCTGGGGTCACACTGATGTTTTCTTAAAGCAGAGTTTCCTGTGTGTTTTATGGTGCTGCTCTAAGATATTTCCTCCTTAAAACTGTGTTAATTCTTATAGAATGAATTTTTGAAGCTTTTCATTGTGGAGAGTTTTTCCTACCCGGTGGTAATGGGCAGTGGATCAAAATCCAGTCCTCAATAATTGAATTTTCAATGTCATGGTCTATAGAACTACCACTCCCCTCTCTGTCTTCTCAAATGCTCTGTGTCATGTGCTCCAGCACATGCTTTGAACTCCTGTACAGGTGACCGTTCCTCCCTTCTCAGTAAGTGTCTTCAGTATTTTATTTAAAACTGAATTTGACAAGTAGCTAAAAACTTAGTCTGAGACTTGTATTTAATACACAGTTAATTATGAAAATAGCAACTGTTTTTAAAAATTACTCAGTTGACTGCTCTTTAAGACCACACTTGTATGCCAGGAGGCAACAGCCTTCATCATTGAACTCTTTTGAGGCAACCAGCAGACCAGTTGCGGCGGACAAAGTTGTCAGAGTAGTCCTGCTCAGGCTTGCCTGGGCCGTGGGGAGCGCTCCCCGCCAAATGATTCAAGCTTCCACAGCCCAGCCCAGGCTCCTGTCTGGCTGGAGAGCATCCACCCCTCTTCTTGCCCCAGTGCCACCCTTTTCTGGGCAGGGAGCCAAGAAGTAAACTTTATAAGCAGTGAGTACTTCAGATAAATTTACAGCTATAGCTACTGAAGAGTGGGGAAGACCGAGCACCACTGATTTTAATTCTCCAACATAAAAGCAATGTTAACTAACATGCGCACGTGCCTACATATGCCTGTCCTTCTGGGGAGATCTCGCACTAGAACACAAAGGCATCTGGGCTGCACTTTGAATGATACACTTGTGCTTCAGTAGATTCACTGTTTAAATTGTTCATTTCTTTTCATGAAAGGTTTTAGTCAACTAGATGGGGCAGCATCATTTCATATTTAACAGAAACTTTGGAACATTAACTTTTAATGAATGTGCTTGCATTGTGAAGCAAGAGCCTACAAAGGCACCTATTATACATGAAAGTTCTGGCTGTGGAGGCCAGTACTCGGTGGAGTTTCAGAGAAGTCAGTGATCGCTTCAGTCAGTGATACGTAGCTGTGTCGCAGGAGGGTACGCTGTGTACTCTTCCAGGTATGAGGGTATGCAACTTTGGATCTTAAAATTCTGTACACATACACACTTTATATATATGTACGTATGTATGTATGAAAACATGAAATTAGTTTGTCAAAAATGTGTGTGTTTAGTATTTTAGCTTAGTGCAACGATTTCCACATTATTTATTAAATTGATCTAAGACACTTTCTTGTTGACACCTTGAATAATAATGTTCAAGGGTGCAATGTGTATTCCTTTAGATTGTTAAAGCTTAATTAATATTATTTGTAGTAAATTAACTTTTAAAATATATTTGAGCCCTTGTGTAGTGTAATAGGGCTCTTACAGGGTGGGAAAGATTAATTTTCTGATAGCTAATTGAACAAAATGGCTTCATTGTGTATTTTGATTTATAGGAGTTTACATCTGGGTCCCAGGAACATCTACTGGGGATGACTACTTCAGGCAGGTTGTGATGATGCTTTAAAAAACAAAGAATAACAACAAACCCTAAGTAACTTGGGGAGCCAGAGCATTTCAAATCTATAGACTCCCATGACTCATATTCCTTGGATAATACAGAACACAGGTTCCATTTTAACTTTATGTATCAGTGTTGGAGAGGCAGACTTTTTTTCCAGTAATAATATTGCACACCAAAAGTTGCTATTCAGTAAAATCAGGAGAAATAATCATTGAATGGCTTGGAATATGCAGTAATAAGAGGCCAAATTATTCATGATTGTGACTATACTTTTCACCCACTCACTAGTAGAAAAATTCAATTTAGATTTCTGGGCTCCAAAGCCAAACAAGCAAATGACAGGAAGAAAGTTGTAAAAGTTTGTAAAGGGGGCCGGGGATGTAGCTCAGTGGTTCTTTTGCCTGCCTCACAAGCGCAGGGTCCCAAGTTCCATCCCCGGCACCAAAAATAAAAAAAAGTTGGTAAAGGGATGCTGGACGTGTGATTAATTAAAAAGAACTGTCTTCAGAAAAGGGAATAGAAAGGATATCTAAACACCTCTTAAATGGAATTTGGTCACAGAATAAGGTGTTCAGGTTAAGTCTTGACCAAGTCATAATATTTAAAGTATCCTAAAATAGCAGCCTAAGCAGTCATCACATCAAGAAGTTGATTTTCAGGAATGTTAGCATGGACCGCTCCTTGCCACCATTGTTCAGCTGAACATAAATTACCATTATTAAAAACAAAAAAAAAGCTGTCTAAATGAGTGTGGAAAATCTCCCACCCAGAAATTTTAATACTTGGTTTTGACCTCTTGCAACTTCCATGTGGGGTTCCTTTGCAGCTTTTAACCATTGGGATTTTCTACCTGTTATGTTCCTCTCTCAAAAATAGCTATTTGGAAGCGCTGCCTTTCAAACTGATGCCAGGATTATCCACTTTGTTGAGCTTGTTGTTGCTGTTCAAGAAGTGTCCCCATTTTACAACTGTACACACGCCCCTGGCATGTCATTGACACGAGAGAGCATTCGACAGTACTGGGTGGGGTGGGGCTCCCCAACAGAGCTGGCCCAGTCATCTGGGTCTGAAAAGGCGCCACCTCTGAGGGCCAGCTGTGGAGCTGGTAAGCACAGTTAGGAAGATACTGTATCTAGCCTCCGTTTCGGATGATTTTAAGAAATTTTGTATATGGAGGATGGAAATGCTTATATATTTATTGAAAATCCTTTTATGTTATTTGAAAATTATTTGGTAAATAGTTGTTTGATATTTGGGGAGGGTTTTGGAGGGGAAGTAACGCTGTTGATAAATTACAAGCCTGTTGATTGTGCAGAAAGGTACTGTTAGTGACTAATAGGATGCCTTTGCTTTGTACATGATCCAAATCTTTGTTTTACATTTCTTTTATCCAAAATATTTAGGCATCTGACATTTTCAACCAAAATTTCAATTATATGCTGTGATTTTTATTTGTTGGAATACATTAAAATTTCAGAGGTACTTTGGGGCCCAACAGCTAGGGTTTCTAAGCAGTACAGTATGTGCATTTCACATAATAAAGCTGTTAATGGTGAGCAAAGTATTATATACTAACTAGATTTTCCACATCTGTATAGTATATTATATGTATTTTGTGGTATTGAGATTATAGAAAGTTTAGAATGTCAAACATGCGTTTAATGTGTATTTTTAAACAAATTTATGGCAATTAAAATATTTGGAGACAAGGGTATCAACATTTCAATTTGTAAAAATCTTTTTAACTCTACTGTGTCATTAAGATGCTTTGTATAATGCCAAACCATAGCTGGAGAAACTAAGTTTAATAAATATCAAATAGATTTTCTGTATTAAAGTTTATGAACACTGTGCTCTTTACACTTCTTTAGCTCTCACTGTGCCCTTTTCGTGCAATTTTTGTTTTGTATTTTTGGGTCCCGTAGTCTTTTTTTTTTGGTACCAGGGATCGAACTCGGGTCCTTGCGCTTGTGAGGCAGGCGACGGAACCACTGAGCTAAATCCCTGGCCCAGGGTCCCGTACTCTTTTAAAAGTCTGGTCCTACTAGTAAAGGTCTCAGTTTTCTAATTACAGAAATTCTAAACTTTCAGGCCATGGGTGTAAGATTGGCCTTGTGTGTAGATTACATTTCTCTACTCCAACAGAAATCTCAAATTCTTTTTGGTGTTCTGTTTGGCCGAGGCTTCTATTGTTTTATTACACTGGATCTCAATCTCACGGTAAGTTCAGAGAGTCATAGGTAAACATGCACATCATCAGGTGGCAAGTGCCAGGCGCCCATCTTGATCCCTCAGTGAAAAGTTCTTTACCTGAAGTGTAAGGGCCAGGACCCAAGGCTACAACTTAGGAACTTGCCAAGCTGTTGCTAAAAGTTTATACTTAACCTGCCCGTTGTGTTCTTTAGAAGACTCTTGAAGAATGTTAACTCTTACCTTGCTTTCCAGATGGAGAAGCTAACACAGTATTGTGCATTGCTGGGTTTTTTTCTTTAGTATGCAAAGTGAATCCATCTTCAAGTTTGAATTTCAGACCACCACAATTTCAATTTGAGTTATTTAATAGTATCCATAGAAAAATAAACTCTAACTGATAAATTTAGTTATGCTTATCCACATATCAACATTCTAAGAAAAAATGGAGACCGATTTAAAGCATCATATGTCTTTAAATATTAAAAACATAATATTGCTTCATTTGTGTATCTCCAGCCAAAATGCAGTTAATCAATATTCCATAGAACGGAGCATTGTTGGAGCTGACCGCTGTTTGTTCTTCCCCTGGTATGTACATCATTCCTGGGCCACAGTCAAGGAACAGCGTCTTTTTCTAGGAGGGAAAAGAGGTGTTTTTTAAGACTCAGTTTCAGAGTCCCCACTTCTGCTGCCTTCCCTCCTCTGCTTAAACGGTCGCTATCTGGTCTCAGGAAAGATACTCTTGTGTGATACCTGAGTGGCTCTTGGCTCTGCGGAATTCTCCAGGGAGTTTGCAGCTCAGCCCAGGTGCCACTCCTCCATCCCAGCTTTATTTTTCAGCCTCTGTGTTTCTTGCTCTCGCCTCTGCCCAGTTTCCCAGGGCTCTGGCCGGGCCTGCACCCAGCTGTGTGGCTTACCTGCATAGCCTGGAGACACACTCATAATCATCCCGGCAAGAGGCTCCAATGGGCCTGAGGGAAACTCCTCTCCAAAATGGGGTCATTCTTCGCGGCCTTTTCTTTGATGAGCTCAGTGCTGGTACTGGGGAGCCATCTATCTGTAGAGCAAAGACAGTCACCTGAAGTATGGAAGAAGTGACTGCTGCACACCTTCACAGAAGGAACATTCTCCAGTAATGTAGGCTCAGAATAGGAACCACTCCTCAGGTCTGAGTCTGGCTCTCAAGGTCCACTCGAATTCCGTTCCCACTACCCCGTCCACAAATACACATGCATTTCCTTCCTTACCTGGCCCAACAGCAGCAGGCAGATCATGAGCACTGCAAAGAGTTTGAGGTGCCACATCTTGGCAGTGGAAGGATGTTGAAGTCTGAAAGCCAAGGACACTTACTGCTCTTTTTATAGACTGACATCTGCCTTTTTCATGGTTGCCAGGTGAGATGGGGCAAAGTTTATATTTGTAATCAGGATCGATTTAGTAAGTTAATGTCTACCAGAGGAATGTCCTCAAGGGCTACTTTCAGGCACGTCGTGTTTACTGATCCCTCCTCTGGACTTTGAATGATTGTGTTGCTGGCCCAGACCCTTTAACCCATTATATCAAAAGTCCACACTGCCCCTCCTTTCCTTTGAACGCCACGTGAAACCCCTGAGGGAGACTGGGAATCTGGCCATATTTCTATTCTAAAATAGTTCAGCAGACTGTGGGTGTAGCTCCGTGGTAGAACATGTGCTAAGCATGTTTGAGGACCTGGGTTGAATTCCCACCACATGCACTCGTTCACACGCGCACACACAGCCTAAAATAGCTCAGTGAAATCACTATAATGAAAACACAATTCCAACAGTAAAGTCTTAAAGCCTTCTTAGGAAAAGAACACTGATGTGTCATGTACTGACAATACAGAAAGACCCTCAGCTCCCTTCTGAAGGAGCATATGTAAGCAATAAAAAAAAAACCTACTGTGTCTCAAATCCCCCATCTGCATAGATGAGCTGTCACCCTGGTAATTACACCAGGTAAATTCAGTATAGCCTACCTGATGCCTCCCAGAAGAGCAAACAATAGGGGCATGGCATTTATCAGCCGTATAGATACATAGGTGAAATGACGGAGTGTAGGGATTTGTTTTTGTTTTGGGTTTTTTTGGTACCGGGGATCGAACTTGGGTCCTTGCGCTTGTGAGGCAGGCGGTGGAACCACTGAGCTAAATCCCTGGCCCTTGTTTTGCTTTTTTAAGTGAATAGAAAGTCAGTGGGAGAGCTTGGGAAGTAACAAGACATTCAACCCAGTAGTTGAGTCAGGCCTTGGCCGAGTATTTCCTTCCAGCAGACAAGCATAGTGCTGAGATAACTTCAAAGTCTAGAACATCCTTTAGCTTTAGTAGGAACCAGTTCAGGTTTCTAGATCAAGAGAGGACATGATCTAAATCATGAGTTGCCAGGTGTGGTGGCACAAACCTGTGATCCCCGAACTTGGGAAGCTGGAGCAAGTGGGTTGCTGTGAGTTCAAGGCTAGCTGGAACTACACAGCAAGACCCTGTCTCAAACCCTAAGTAGCATGGGTATTCGTTAAATGGTGTGATAATCATCACCAGGCCTGTGGCCAGGCAAACAGTGGCTCTTGCCAAGGTGAAATAGGGTGGTATGATGGACCTCAAAGCTGGAATTGGGTGGGATGTGACCACAAATCTGCCTGTCCTGGTTCCAGTCCTCTTGGGACCATGGAGCTGGGGTTGAAGGGAGACACTGCTGCTTGGACTTCAGAACCATTGAGAAGTAGATCTATCTACCAAACCCAACTCACCAATCCTACAAATTCAAGACTAGTTAGCTGCTCCCTTTATCCTTGAGGTCGGTCACTGAATGAACCCAGGTAGGGCACTAATGAAGAACTTCTGCAGGGTTGAGGGAGAGGCCATGTGGTCACCCAGTGAACATTGAGTAAGAACACAAATCCGATTAGATAAGCAAAAGACTGAACAACGTGATGTCCCAGAACCAGGTGGGTCCATTAGGCTCGGCACCAGCCTCCCCTTCACCCACCTGCAGTGACATGAAACCCATCCAAAAGATGAATCCCCTCATCCTCCATTCTACCTTCCTGTATTCCGAGCAGAATCAGACTGCCTATGTTAATTTCTAAAACCAATACCATAGCAAGGAAAGAGCCTTAGCCCTGTGCCCCCTGTGCCCCCTGTGCATGAGGAAAAGGACCGTGCATCCTCATGGGTGCAGTAACATCACTGGACCCTTAGGGGCTCCAGTCTCGCTCTGTCGGGCTCCTTCTGTATGTTCTCAGAGGGAACCACTGCTAGGGCAAGTATCTCAACATCTACACAAACTGGTTGTTTTAAAATTGAGAAGCAGGGCCGGGGATTTAGCTCAGCGGTTTCGCTTCCTGCTGCGCAAGCGCAAGGATCCGAGTTCGATCCCCAGTACCAAAAAAAAAAAAAAAAAAAGATCTTAAAATTGAGAAGCAAAGCAGCATCCAGGCAGCAGATAGCTAATGAGACAGGCCCTGCCTTTAGCTATCCTGTACCTTGAGACTGAAGACCTGCTCCTAAAATTTAAGAAATACTTGAAAGTTCACGGCCTCTCTGCAGTCAAGCATTTTGCTCAATGGTTACACACTTCCTTCTCTAGTAAAAAGGCCTCAGCAGCCTCAGCCATAGGAAAGAATGCTTGGTTGGGAGGCAGGAGCCTAGGGTCTCCGTAGTACACCCGCCCACAGGTCAGCCTGTCTCCTGTCAGATGGGAGTAGATCTCAGGTCTCTAGCACTGTTTGGGGTCCACATGATTAATGTACAAGAAAATGAAACTGAAACTTGGTAGCTGAGGGCTTGGCCACTCTGGATACAACTTGAGCGACTCTGCTTCTGAGGTGCCCAGGATGAAATGGGAGAAAGGAGGAGACATATGAGCAGCTGTTTGAAATACATTCCAGGAGGAGAGGAGATCATGAGGACTTGGCAGTAATTGGAAACTTGTTATCTCTGAGCAGGAGGTGGCTAATAAAAGATGAACAGCTTGAAAATGGAAAAACTTCCAGGTAAAAATTTTGCTGGCTGGGGCTGGCAGACTTCAGGGCCTGCACATTGGGCACTGTGTTGGGAGACGATAGCCCATTAACCCATGAGAGTAGAAGCACTGGGGAAAGAAGAGGCACGTGGAACAAGTGCACGTACTGGTCACTGAAAAGCACCACACCCAGGGCTGTGAGCTCCAGGTGGAAGGCTTCTTAGCGTTGAGCCCCACAGCAGCTGCCTCCCTTTAAAAGCTTTACGCAAGCAATTTCTCTGTAGGTTTCAACAAATAGAATGGCCCCGCAGAACGATCCCAGGTCTCAGTATGTTGTACAGGAGCTCCAAGCTACAACTCCACATAACCACTGCCACAGCACCCAGCGCAGAGGTGAGATCAGTGGTGCCACGCTCAGAAGCCCCTTGGCAAGAGACGGGCCTAAAGCAGACTAACCGTTTTAGCCACAAGCAGAATCTCGGTACATCGGGGGCTTATACCAATCAGGGTTGCCTCAGTAGAGCACTCCTGGGATAAAAAGGGATTCAGACCAACAGGCTCAATAGCTGGTGAGTAGCTCCTTTGGTTCTTTTGAGCTGGTAACTCCAAAGGAATCAAAGAACTAGAGACAGTTTGCAACAACCAGGAATATGGAAGAGCGCACCGTGTCCCCTAGGAAGCTTGGGGCACAAAGACCTGAGGCACCTGTCCAGCAGTGGTCCTCCCCTGGCCTGGGGACCTACCTGAGTAATGCAAGGTAAAGGTGGGTCATGTATACTGGCCTTTGGGTCCAGAGCTTTCATCAGATTCTCAAAGGAGTCTATGACCCAAACATGTTGCAATACCTGGCAACAAGACCTGGGAATAAATCTGGACAAAAAGCTAAATAGGAAAATGACCCCGCCTGGGGCCCAAGACACCCTGCTATCTGTCCTGGTAAGCCTGCGTCACCATACGAGACACCACCATTACTCACTTCTCCATCACAACCTAAGGATTTTAGTATTTCTACCATACAGGTGAGAACTTTAAGGCTCAAGGATGCAGGTTTCTGGCCTGTATCAGAGTGAGCAAGTGAGTTTAAGGGTTTGAATCCACGACTGCCAAAGCCACCCCACATCCTGCCTATCAGTGCAGTTTATCTTGTGAATTGTTTTGCTGACATAATTTTGGTTCTTAAAACCAACAGCAGTAATTAGAAAAGGCAGACACTGCCTGAGCCAGCTCAGCTAGACTGTGACAGTTGCTGAAGACTAGTAGGGAGTATCCTTGGATGTTTCTAAAACTGGTACAGAGCCAGAAGCATACAACTGCCAATCATACCTAACCATACTTCCCTTTCCCTTCTAGTAAAGGGGAAATGGCATCTTTTCAGCTAAAAAGGTTAATTCAAAGGCCCTGGAGCAGGGGCACTTTTCCCAGGAACCATATTTTAGGCTGAATGGGCCATAGGATGTTGAGTGAGCCCTAGGGCCGGAAATGTAACTAAGTGGCACCACGCCTGCCTGGCAAGCGCAAGGTCCTGAGTTCAACCCCCAGTATCCCCTCCCCCAAAAAGTCCATGCTTAGGATGTTGAGCCGTTATAGAAGGAATCACCTCATCTCATTTCGTAGCTGATTTCTCAGGCTAAGGAGAGCCTGCCTTAGGAGGAAAGGCAGTTTAAGTTTTAAGAACACACACTGGTCCTGGACTTGCCCACTCACTGCTGAATAATGTAAGGCAAATTACTTAACCTGTGGTCTGTTTCATCTGCAAAAATAGGAATAATGGTGCTTAAAGGTTAAGCTTAAAACTTTATTTGTATGGTTTAGGAGATTAACCTGACAAACAGTAATTACTGTATAGTTACTAGGCTTTATGGTTACAGTGGGAGCAGAGGGCCAAAAACCAACCCTCCCCACAAACCATACCTTCAAAACCGGTTACCAGCAATAGCTGCATGGTAAGGGATAAAGCCCACACCTTCACAAAAAGTCTCATTAGGCAAAACTGGTCAGGACTCATGCTGAGGAGGGGGTCCTGCGTGAACTTGAATATTAACAGTCACCAAGTACTCTGGTCACAAAAATGCAAGGTCACAACACACACAGCCCATAGGAAGTTTATTGTGTCTTCAAGAAATTAAAATACAGACTCCTCTCTCAAAGAAGTTTTTCAGAAGCAGGAACTGTCATGCAGATGGGTTGCTCATTTGTCATTTTCATAGTCAGCTGGGTTCTTCCTCTTGGATTTCTCAAATTCCTCGGTTCCCCATGTGTAGACAAGATAAAACACTACAAATGCTTTAAAAATCAAAAGCAAGAGAAAGCATAAATAAGACACAGTCCTCTTTCTGCCCTCCTGTTACTCTCTAGCTTTACAAATATAGTACTACTATTACGTTGCAGCCTCCAGAAAGGTTTAGGTTACAAACTTATTTTACATGTAACCAAAAGGAAAATTTGGCACCAGGTCTTCATTTCTTTCCTGCTATCCTCTTGCCTCAGCCTCCCAAGTGCTGGGATTACAGGCATGCATCACCACCGCTCAGCTTCTGGACAAAAAGTTTTAATGAGATAACTGAGATCAAATTTACCTAACACAGATTTCACCATTTTAGCCCGTTGTGTTTAAGGCTCATGTTCAAGGCCAGCCTGAACTACATAGTGTGACCTTGTCTCAGTAAAAAAAAAAAAACATATTTATATAAAATATATTAAATAATATATAATATATTACATATATAATAATATATATTATATATATCATTTTTAAATGTACCCTTCTCCAGAAGTGGTGGCACATGCCTGTAATCTCAGCACTTGGGAGGCTGAGGCAGGACCGCTGTGAGTTGAAGCCAGCCTGGGCTACATCCTGAGTTCGAGGCCATTCTGAACTACATCGCGAGACCCTGTCTCAAAACAAAATAAAGTGGGGCCGCCGCCCGCCTCCCAAGGGGAAGGTCCCGAGTTCAATCCCCGGTACCAAAAATAAATAAAATTAAGTGTACACTTCAGGGGTCCTTAGCATCTTCACGATGTCATGCAACTGGCAAGCAGTGTCTACAGCGCATCTAACACAAGACGGTCATCACTGATAAGGGGCAAAGATGAGCTCCAAGTGAGACGCTGGAGTCACGCAAGCGACCTTCGGCCCGTCGTCCCGGCATCGTGTGACCAGCTCAAGGGCTGTCAGCAAAGCTCCCTGAGGAAGGCGTCAGGGCGTCCACCGGACCCCAGCGCCCGCACGAGGCCCCGCTGCTCGGGAGGGCGTCTGCTCCCGGCCAACCGCCCCGGCACTCACGCGGCGTCACGCGCAGAATGGACCCCCGAGTGCGGCGCAGCACGTTGGGGATCCCCTTGCTGAGGAGGTTCGGGAAGGCGCGCTGCTCAAAGGGCGACAAGCTGTAGGTGATGATGTGCCGCATCCGCGTCAGATTCCCAAAGTGGAGGCCCATGGCTGCGGCGGCCCTGCAGATCAAGGTCGGGGCGCTCAGCTCAGCCTCGGGACCGCCACAGCCCGCGCGGGACCCCCGGCCCGCTACCCGCGCGCGCACGCCCCGTGCTCCCCCACCCCAGGGGTGTCCGCATCCCCCCGCAACTCACACGCACACCGGGGTCACCTCGCCCTCCGCCGAGACGGAGCCACCGGCCTCTCACGTCACTTCCGGCGGGACCGGAAGCCGGTTCTGGAGGCCGGAAGTCAGTTCCGGGGGACACCATTTTTCCACTAACTCCAGGGGAGGACGCCTGGCCGGGTGACACGTGCTGGACTTGGGTCTCCGCGCGCCCTGTCCCCGTGTGATGGCGCTCACCCTTCCCGACCCCGTCCTGTGGGAGGAGCCCCGGGCTGCGAGGGCGGGATGCTGAGGAGGTGGCGAGGGGCGCGGAGGCGTGAGGAGCACCCAGTCGTCGCTCCCGGTCGTGGGGAGCGCGGAGCACGCGGGGAGGGAGCGGTCTCGGCTCTTTTCAGGCCGTCGGTGACCCAGTGGAGAACGAGGGCCCGAGGCCTAGCGTTTCTCCTGTGACCTGTGCCTTAAAGGTACAACACAGCCGTTTCATTTTCAGCCACAGAAGTCATCAAGCAGTGTCGGGCAGTTGACACACGGTGTTGGTGGGGATGGCTTCCCGACCGCTAGCTTCTTTCCCGGGGCCGTGGGCCGGGCCGGGTGGCTCCGGAGCCCGCATCACCTGGCTCCCTGGCGGCTGCTGCTGTCTCGGATGTTAATGGGATCGCTGGCTGTGGGTAATCTGGGCTAACCTCTCGCTCAACAGTTTGGAGTGTTTTATATCCCTGCTGGCGGGCAGTGACTCAAGTTTTGCTAACGCACCTCAGCTTTTTCGATCTAGGTACCGCACAGACTGGTTTTGTATCTCGTATCTATGCGGGTTGACTTTCTTCCAGAGGATTGGCTCTTTCGGGGCTGCGCTCCATGGCCTCGCCTTCGGCTTTTCTTGGTGCCCCTTTGCCTCATTTTTCTAAAATGTATCCAGCCTGCCCTCAGCTCCAAGACAGGAATACAAATACTTGTAACAGTTAAGGACAAAAATACTGTAGTGAAATCTACCTCCATCTGGGTTGTTAGAAATACATCATTTGCTGAGCGTCGTGGCACACGCCTGTAATCCCAGCACTTGGGAGGCTGAGGCAGGATTGCCATGAGTTGAAGGCCAGCCTGAATAGCCAGGCCCTATCTGAAAAAAAAAAAAAAAAAATTTCTTTCACAGCACCTGCAAACATCTCAGAACCTTTCAACCAAAGAATATGTAGATAAATGTGCTAACCAAAGTAAAGACATCAAGATAGTGGATTTTAACGTTAGTCAAAGTTAAGGGCAATGTTCTCTCCTTCCTTGGTCACTTTCCCGGTAGCGGTACTGGGAATCCTTGCGCTTGTTAGGTAGGCGCGGTGCCACTGAGCTAAATCCCCAGACCCCCTTGCTCACTTTTTCTTTTCACGCTACGAGACATGGAGATTCAACCCAGGGCCTCAGGTATGCTAGGCAACTTCTACACCACGGAGCTGCATTCCCAGCCCACTTCTTTGTTTTGCTTTTTTGTTGTTGTTTTGAGACAGGGTTTTACTAGGTAGTCTAGGATGGCCTTGAACTCGAAGCAATCCTGCCGCAGCCTCCCAAGTGCTAGGATTGCAGGCCTGCACCACCAGGCCGTGCCACCTCCTTTTCTTGACAGTGTCACTGCCTTCTGAGCCATCCTCAGTATCGCTATGTAGCTCAGGCTATCTAGCCTTCTGGGATTACAGGCATAATGCTACTCCACCCAGCTCAGGGTCTTCTTTTAAAATATTTTGCAAAGTACAGTTGCAAAATGCCAAGCCATATCCTATGCTAAGCAACCTGGGAGGAATGAGCAACCTAACAGTTCTCAGCTCACTGGAATTTCCATGCCAACTGTGACTTTCACCCTCCAAATCAACACGCAGCACATAATTACTTACTCTAAGCACCTGGGAGAGAGAGCGGAGGGAGGTCAGGATTTGACAAGAGTAAATCTAATACCCTAAATTGCACACCAACAAATCTGAGTACTTACGCTTTTCCACATGCCTCGAGGGTTTCAGAAAGCACCTATGGGGCGTTTTAAAAATCCTAATTTTAAGGGCCGGGATTTAGCTCAGTGGTGCTGCCTGCCTCGCAAGCGCAAGATCCCGAGTTTGATCCCTGGTACCAAAAAAATAAAAGTCCTAATTTCTCACTGGGCATGGTGTGGTGCATGCCTGCAATCCCAGCACTCTTGAGGCTGAAGCAAGAGGATCGCAGTGTTTGAAGCCAGCCTGTGCTGTGAGTTCAAGGACAGTCTGGACTACATAGTGAGAATCTGTCTCCAAAACAGAATCATAGTTTCTCTTTTTAGAAAAAGAGGTTTTAAGATAATTCCTGTTACTCTTAGACTTTCAGCTACATAGTCCATTAATGTAACACTGACTCGGTTTTGAGTAAGCGACAGAGAAAAGGGGAGAGGAGAGCTAAATCAACAGATAAATCTGCACCATTGCGGACAAATTGAGTAAATAGGGTGTTATCAGCTGATTGATATAGACCTGGTAAAAAGTATCTTCAGCTAGGTACCCTTGAGGCCTGATTACAGAAGGGACGCTGTTCCACCCACACACCTAAAAGTTATTTAAGAGATCAAGCTAGGGCCTTCCCGCCTTTAGGAGGAAGCCTGGTGTAGGGAAATGTCCTTCCCACACCATGGCGCTTTCCAGCAACTTCCTCCTTCGGTTCTGCTGCTTTGCCTGGCTGAGTTCTGTTAAGCTTGGCTGCCCGGCGTCTAGGGAAGAAGCTCAGATTTCAGTGAGTGCCAAGTTGGAATCTGAACTAGAGCCTTGGTCCTTGCTCCAGCCTGTGGATGGGGAACACAGCTCTGACCCCCTTCTGCCCCTCTTCAAGGTCCTGTCTGGCAGTCGAAGTGGGCCCCCTAGGCTACAGCCAGACGCCAGAGCCCTGCACTACATGAAAAAGCTCTATAAGACATATGCCACCAAGGAAGGGATCCCTAAGTCCACTAGAAGTCACCTCTACAACACCGTGCGACTCTTCACCCCCCACCCCCCACAGAAGTTCGCTTCCGGAGACCGGGGGACAGGTGTGTGGAAGCAGCTTGCTTAACTGGCTGGAGGGATGATAGAAGTGTCTTCATGTCAGTTACAGAACAGAACTGGGCTTTGCTTCTTGAATTGCATTTCATTTTGCATGATACTGTCTAATCAGAAACAAATTCGGTACTTGATCTGATTGTTTCTAGTGGGCTAATTTACTAGAATTTTAGACCTGAAATGGACTTAACGGCTCTGAAGGCTGAGGAAAGTGCTGGAGAAGGCTAGCATCTATTTCCCTGCTGCCTAGCTGTTAAGCATGTGCCTGGAACATCTCGTATAGCCAATGGTATGCTTCGTCAAACAGGATATTTCCTCTTAGGTGTTGCTTTTTGTGAGGAAAGCCGAAGTCCCCCTGGGTACAGTAGATCTTATAAGAACAAAGCTCATGTAGCTCAGTGGTAGAGTTCACACTTAGCATGTTGAGGCCCTGGGTTCAATCCCAGCACCACCCCAAAACCCCACAGAGTGTTACTCCATAGTGGGAGCTGCTTAAGGTCTTGTGTATGAGAGAGGAGTAATGCGTTAAAAAGCTATATTCACTAGTTCATGACATAAACCATTTTGACTGAATAGGACAGTTGTGCCTGTTTAAAACACATTCCCCTTCCTCCATGTGCTATTTTACTATAGTAATGGTAAGACCTCTATTTGTTTTTCAGTCTCAAATGTTACAAATTAACTTTGCAGGCAAATGTTTTTAATTGTCATCATTCACTGGGCATAGAATGTCTTTTTTTTTTTGGTACCGGGGATCGAACTCGGGTCCTTGCGCTTGCTCAGTGGGTGACAAAACCACTGAGCTAAATGCCCGGCCCCGGCATAGAATGTCTTAACAAGCCTGGTGAGTATTTTGTTTTTTTGAGACAGGGTCTCACTGTGTAGTCCAGGCTGGCCTCGAACTCACAGCGATCCTCCCGCCTCAGCCTCCCGAGTGCTGTGATTACAGGTGTGCGCCACCACACCTGGCAAGTGTTTTAAATTACTAGGATGATTTTTCTTTGTATAGATTTGCCAAAAGCAAAGCACTACTTTACTCATTAGCTTCTATCTGGGGCGAGTTGTTCAGACTGGAACCCTCTGGCTTTAACTCCCCATCAAGCTGTTCTGACTTTTCCAGGGAGCAAATGGCCAGGTGTGATTGCTGGGATTTGGTAGGATACCAGTCACCTCTCCTCTGTGTATTCTCCTCCTCTCCCTCTTGGTTGCGAGGCATGAGGAAGTGAGGGGAAAGAGAAGAGAGATTACATACTACTTTTCGAGGTGCCGGGCCGGGACCCAGGCCTGGTGCATGCTGGGAAAGTGCTCTCTCTCCCAGAGCAACAGCTGGACTTCTGTCTCCTCTGTGTGCAAGCACCGCTGACGGGTGGTTTTTCTCCTCAGGAATCTTCCCGTCCGCCGACCTGCTGTTTAACTTGGACCGCGTTGCTGCCGTCGAACACTTGCTCAGATCGGTCTTGCTGTACACGCTCAATAGCTCCGTTTCTCTTTCCTCCGCTGGTAAATGTGTGTGCAGCCTGGTGATGGCAGAGCCGAGGGCTTCCGGCAAGGCTCTCCCTGGAGCTCCCTCCTCCTTCCCCTTCAGCTCCCAGTTGGAACTGAGAAAGAATTTCAGATGGATCGAGATCGATGTGACCTCCCTGCTCCAGCCTCTAGTGGCTTCCAACGAGAGAAGCGTCCACATGTTCGTCAACTTCACCTGCCCGAAGGCCGGGCCGGGGCGCCTGTCCAGCGCGCTGCTCAGCGAGCCGCCCTCCCTCATCCTCTATCTGAACGACACCAGCGCCCAGGCCCACCACCGGTGGTACTCCCTCCGCTACGGGAAGCGGTCTCTGCGGGACCCCGGCCAGCGCAGAGGCGTGGCCGCCTGCCCCGCGGGTGAGGGGCCTGCTGAGGGCGGGAGGTCTCCCCGTCCCCGTCCCCGGAGAGGCCGGGAAACCCTCAGCCCTGGACCGCTGGAGTCGCTGCTTCCAGCGTCCTTCACCCCGAGCCAACACTTCAAACGGTTTCTTTTCCCCCACGACGAGTGTGAGCTCCTCGACTTCAGACTTAGCTTCAGGCAGCTCAGGTGGGACCACTGGATAGTGGCCCCGCAGAGGTACAACCCTCGGTTCTGTAAAGGGGGCTGTCCGCGGGCAGTGCGGCACCGCTACGGCTCCCCGCTCCACACCGTGGTGCAGAACATCATCTACGAGAAGCTGGACGCGTCGGTGCCGCGGCCGTCCTGTGTGCCCGCCGCCTACAACCCCCTGAGCGTGCTGACCATCGAACCCGACGCCTCCATCGCCTACAAGGAGTACGAGAACATGATAGCCACGCGGTGCACCTGTCGCTGACCTATGCGCCCCGAACCAAAGCCGGAGCGCTCGGCAACGTAAGTGTCCCACCCGTGCCCCCGGGGACGCTGTCAGATCTCTAACTGCCTTGCACACTGAGGAGGTCCAGCAGTCCTGTGGCATCTGTCAGTGAATGGAGGCAACCAGTGGTTGTGTGGTTGCTACATTTCCAAACTTGAAACGTAATTACTTTGGAGAGCTTAATTTTTTTTCCCCTTGAGCAGTGTTTTTCTTTTCACACAAGTCTTATTTTGGATGGGAAAATGTCTTAGCATAGATCTTGGAGTTGCAGTTACAAATTTCGAGTGCTGAGGTCTTCTGTAACTGAAAAATAAATTCCTGTCAATGGCATAAGTGGTGTGTGTTTTATTAAATAAAGATTACTTTTGGGCCAGGGGTGTAGCTCAGTGGTTCCAGCACGTGCCTCGCAAGTACAAGGTCCCGAGTTCAATCCCCAGTACCAAAAATAAAAAAGATTACTTTTTTTTCCCCCAGTAGTGGGAATCGAACTCGGGACCTTGCACTTGCCAGGCAGGCCTGGTGCCCCAGAGCTACATCCCTGGCTAAAGATTACTTCTATTACTTGGGAGAGAGGAAGCATTTCTAAAAGCTGGTCTTGGCTCAACTTTGGTTTTGTTTCCAGAGTGAAAGGGAAGCTAATTTTCCTCCGCCTGGACACTGGTGAGGTGAAATTCACTGAGACAAGAGGATGCAGCATAACCAATTTGCTGCCTTAGTGTGATGGTTGGTACACTATACATTAGTTCTTCCATTAACTGGCTTATTTGAGTCGAATACTTGTCCTTTTTGTGTAAAGGAAATTGCCTTGAGTTTTCCAAGAGAAGCTATGTTCATGATTTTTACAGTGTGTTTTTTCTCCTTTATACATTTTAAACTTCTTATAAAAGTTGAGATCATTTTGTTTTTTCTTTCTTCTGTTTGCTTTTTGCTGATTTCCCTCAGCCCACTACCACAGGCTTATTTCCAGATGGATTTAGCACTGTGACCCCTACACTAAGCTCCCTGTGACTGCGTTGTGTCACTGAGCAGACCTTCTGGGATCTGTCAGCTCTTGTGTGGATTTTCAGTATCTCCTTGGGAAAGCCATGGAGGTGCAATTAGGCTGCTGTAGTGATTTTGTTTCAGAATTTTAAAAATTTTAATTAGTACATCTTTGCAGTACATAATGATTACATTTATTGTGGGAATTGGTACCTGAACAAAACATGTCAGTTCTTTTTTCCCCTTCCCCTCAACCCCCCTCCCCGCCTTAAAAATTTTTTTTTGGTACCAGAGATCGAACTCAGGACCTTGCACTTTCGAGGCAGGCATGGTGCCACTGAGCTAAATCCCCAGCCCCTAAAGAAAATTTTTGCCAGCATTAGATTCATTTATTTTATAAGTCCTTATAACATTAATAGCCAGATTAATAGCTAGAAAACATATGAAACACACAAGGCAGTTATACTAAGTCAAGGTACGCTTCTAGATACTTTGGCCATGCTGGATGACAATAAATTTTTCTTTTTCCTATTTTCTTTTATTTTGCACTTTATATATGGGGTTCTCATATAAGAGAAACCATGTGATATTTGTGCCTGATTTACTTCACTTAACATTATGGTCTCAAGTTGCATTCATTTTTCTGCAAATGCCTCGAGTTTATCCTTTATAGCAGAGTAGTTAGTACTCCATTGTATGTAAGTACCATATTTATCCATTCATCTGTTAATGGACACACAGGCTGCTTCCAAGATTTAGCTATTATGCATTATGCTGGTATAAACATGGTTATGGATGTACCACTGTAATATGATGTCTTTAACTCTCTTGGGAAGATACCTAAAAGGCCAATAGCTAAGACAAATGGAATTTCTAGTTACTGCTCTTAGAGGACCCTCCGTTCTGATTTCCATAGTGGTTGTACCAGTTTACATTACTAGCAGCAATGAAGAAGTGTTTTTTCCCCCAACCCCTACGCCTCTCCAGCATTTGTTATTGTTTGATTTTTTTAAGACTTCCATCTGTTTGCTTTTGTGGAAATATATTTTAAATGATGGGGATGAACTTGACAGTAGTTAATTATATCAATAACGTCTACACATGACTATTTCAAACAGTAACTGAAAATCATGATTCTTCTACCTCTTATAACAAAAAATATCCATATGTTGGAAATATACCCACTCAAAAAATGACCTTGTTCTTTTTTTTTTTTTGGTACCGGTGATCGAACTCATGACCTCACGCTTGCAAAGCAGGTGGTGGAACCCCTGAGCCAAAGCCCCAGCCCTGAACTAGTTCTTTTTGATGAGTAAATGATTTCTATATCTTCAGGTAAATTCAAAAAACATACTACCTCTTTCTGAGAATTCCTTTTGTAACTTTATTGTGTTTATGGTTTTGTGACCAATTGAAAAGCATCATATTATTAAAAGTGGGTGATGAGATTAGGGCCGGGGATTTAGTTCAGCGGTGCCGCTGCCTGACTTGCCCGAGCAAAGTCCTGAGTTCAATCCTGGTACCAAAAAAACACACAAAAATGGGTGCTATTAACTGCCTCAACTTCTTAGTATATACTGGTAATCACTCTGTAGAAATAGACCCTGGCTTTGAAAATGGCAAGTTACAGTCTGTAAAACAGTTACAGGCAAGAAAAGTTGTTGAGCAGAGAGGTAAGCCATAAATACGATGACTAAAGGAAAACTATAAAGAAGAAAATGAGATATAGGAAGAGATTCATTGTATCATATGTGATCTGTTATTTCTTTTTATGTGCGTGGTTGTTAAGGATTGAACCCAAACCCTCACATGTGCTGGGCAGCTTTCCACCATTGAGTTACACCCCCATCCTGATCTATTATTTTTAAGGTTTTGGGGTATTTCAGAATTACAGAAAAAGGTAATCTTTCCTAAGATGTATAAATGGTTTACTTTTAATAAATACTGATTTATAATGTAAATAAAAATAAGCAAATATAGATTATTCTTGCAATTTAAAAAATGGCATATGTAAATGAGCACTCTGATACAAACAATTTGAATATATTTGCACTATGTATAATTCTCCATCTTAGAATTTTGCTCTGCAGACTATCACCCTGGAATTCTGTTTTTTTAGAAAAGCACCAGGAAGAATTAGGTAATGATTATGAAATAGGTTCTCCCATTATAATAGCTCCTGTCACTTAGAGTTTTGACCACAGATGTAGCTGGAGACTGAAGCACTTTACAAGAAAGCCTCATTCTTCCATCAGCTGGATCACGTCCAAAGTATTTCATCTGAGTTTCTTGGGCAACTTCTAATTCTAGGGCAGTGTGATGCTTAATCTTTCGTGGATCACGTTGTATGTTATGAAGTGTACTGCAGTCATATTTGGGCCTAGTTTTACCATTACTCCAGTGTGCTGATTTCAGTTATTGTGGCAGTATAAACAGCTCCAAATTCTACTTGGTATTCTTGGTCATCTTTACAGATTTCAGTGATGAATTCTCTTGCCTCATGCATTGCATTGAGTGTTGTGCAAACACAAAATATGTTTCTTCAGCCACCTGATTAATAGTTACCCGTGTTTCAGCTTGAAGTCTTTTTAAATGATATCCACCTGGTCCAACAAATTTTGCTCGTTTTGTTAATGGAACCTCAGCAGTTTCTACAACAGGTCCATTTTCTTTTCTGGATGCTTGTTTTCAAATTGTTTCGTTCATAATCTGTAATATTTCCCTCTTTGCCACCTATGCTTGTTGAATAGCCTCCATTACAATTTTTGGGGGGGAGGTACCAGAGATCGAACCACTGAGCTAAATCCCCGGCCCTCCATTACAATTTTTATTGGTATTCCTGGTAATTTAATATCAGCCTGTAATGCAGTTATTTCCTTCTTGGTACCAGCTATTTTGAAATCCATGTCATCATTATAATCTTCAATCTCCAGAATATCTGACAGCAAACGATAATCTTCTATTTCACCTTTCTCAGGATTGATTTTGGTGATCAATCCTATTGCTACACCTGCGAGAGCAGGTGATACTGGACCCCTTGCATCCATTAATGCCAAACTTCCTCCACATGCAGATGCCATAGAAGAGGATCCATTTGACTCTAGGACTTCAGATGTAACTCTTACAGTGAAAGGAAAATCTTTGGGAATAACAGGATACAAAGGTTTCTCTGCAAGAGCACTATGCCCAAGTTCTCTCCTATTTATTCCAGTGACTTTGCCAATTGCATTAGTTGCATGAGGAGGAAACTCATAGGACAGATGAAATTTTTATCTTTGATCTCATTTATAGCTGTTGTAATTTGATCCGCTTTTATACTAGATTCTAATGAACTAAATGTAGACAGAAAAAAGCACTTGTGTTTGTCCCCTCTGAAATAATGCTGATCCATGGAGAATTTTAAACATATCTACCTTACAACTTATATTCCTAAGTGAAGTCAAATCGTGTCCATCACACCTTTTATATTCATTCAAAATAATACTTCAAAAAATCTGCTTTGCGACAACATTGAAGGATTCTGTTATTTCATATGGATCAGCCTCTGGACATTTTTCTTTTAGTTTTTCCTCTGTATCTTGTTAACAGCTTCATCTCTGGAAACTTTATCGTGTCCATAACCTAAAAGCTGCATAAGGTTTCTCCCTGGCCCGGTTATGAGCATGTTTCAGTGTCTGGCGGAAGGGTGAATATCTTCTGAGGTGTCCTCTTGGTAACCCCAATTTCTTTTACCAATTGCTGGATTCCCTGAAGTATTTGTTGGGTATATTTTACCCCCACTTCGATAGCATGGCCAAAGTCCTGCTATAAAATGTTCTCTGCAGAGGCTTCCAGCATGACTGTACAGTGTAACTTTTAGGTGCTCCAGCAACCGCTAAATTTAAAGTACTAAAAGACATTTCTAGTTTGGTTAACAATACCTTCTCCGTCAATCATTCCTATTTGTACTGCCCCAACAGGTCTATTCCAAGGAACATCTGATAATGAGAGGCTATGAAGCACCATTCATTGCTAGGACATCAGGTTCCTTAATACCATCTACTGCTAACAGACCTGTGTATCATAAAAGTAGCCAGTTGGGGGTCGGGGATTTAGCTCAGTGGTTTCGCCGCCTGCTGCGCAAGCGCAAAGACCGAAGGTCGATCTCCGGTACCAAAAAATAAAGCCAGCTGGAAAGAGAGGTCTAATTGATCAATCAATTATTTGACCTGTAAGAATGTCTTTATCAGAAGAACCAATTTCTAAGGTAGTTTGCGGGACTTCTACCTACAGCAGCAGCCTTCTGTCTACAGTCACCCACCAAAGGCATGAGCTGGGGAGGGGAAGTTTGGTTTTGCTGACTGCTGTGA